TTTGGAGAGAATGCAAGTTGGAGGAAGCTACCTACTCAGCATTCTGTCCAGAGACCAAAGAGAGAGAATCATATTTCAGAGAGAATGCTCACTTAGACTTAGAAGAGGCCACCTACCCTGCATTCTGTCCAAATACTAAAGCTGGAAAATCTGATGTCGGACAGAATGCAAGTTGGAGGAGGCTGTCTACCCAGACAGAATGCTCACTCACTTAGAGGAGACTAACTACTCTGCATTCTCTCCGAACACCAAAGCTGGAAAATCTGATGCTGGACAGAATGATCACTTAATAGAGCAAGCTTAGAGGTTAGGTGACATAGGTCAGATTAAGGATATCTGCACATTTGTCCAAATGTAAAATCGGAAAATCACATTTCAGGGAGAATGATCACTCAGGTTTATATAGTTCAGCTGAAGGCTCAGCTCAGTTCAGGTGATTTTAGATCACATGATATATTCCCCCTAATATTGTGCATTGTGTCCAAACCCTAAAATCGGAAAATGAGATTTTGGAGAGAATGCAAGCTCGCTTAAGAGACAGCTAAGAGATCATGTGACCTATATTATCAGATTAGGTGAAGGTGATCTGAGATCTACCTGACATTCTAACCTAGGTACAGAGTACTGTGCAATCTCTCCGAACCTTAAAATCGGAAAATCACATTTTGGAAAGACTGATGCCAGGCTACAGAAAGTACCTTACCTAACCTCCTGCGCGTTCTGTCTGAACCTAAATTGGAAAATCTCATCTTGGACAGAATGTAGAGTAGTTAGGTAGGTAGTGCAGAGTATATTCTGTCCAAACACCAAATTGGAAAATCAGAAGTTGGAAAGAATGCATAGTAGGAAGGTCAGGTGACCTCAGCATGTAGGTACTCTGTATTATGTCCAGACACTAAAACTGGAAAACCACATTTTGGAAAGAATGCTGTCCAGCTAACAGCTACAGCTTACTCTGCATTCTGTCCAAACAGCAAAACTGGAAAATCACAAATTGAAGAGAATGCTGTTCAGCTAACTACCTACATAGTAAAAGGTCAGGTGACCTCAGTATGTACTCTGCATTCTGTCCAAACACTAAAACCGAAAAATCACTCACAAGTCGTAAAGAATGTTCTTCAGCTAGCTAGGTCGGGTGACCTCAGAACAGCTACTCTGCATTTTGTCCGAAAATCACAGTGCCAAATGGCAAGTCGGCGAGGTGCCAAAATCTGTGACTTTCAATGCGAGGTTTCTGAGTCACGTGAGTTTCCTATTTAGGCTAGTGTGTTTGTCTTACCGCTTACTTTATATGGTAATTTTGTACACCGCTTTGGGGAGTTTTGCGGGCAGAATTTTGTTTCGTACTGCGTACTCCGTACGGAGTACGGTTCTTTTTTTCCCTATCTTCCTCGAAATATATACTGTCATTTGTTCTGTATTGATTTGCACAACTTGTTGATATTAACGGAGGTGGTTCATATATTGTATTAGAAATAATTACATGTACTGATGGCTAACATGCGAGGGGTATACGTGCAAGCATGGCAATACCAGCAGAAGCAAATCCTATGTACAGGACGATAAGCTCATAACATATATTACGAAACGAGGCAAGTCAGTAAGAAAAAAAGGAAAAAGATTATCATGGATTACAACCACAACACCCATCTGATGGTGGAAATAACACCCTTCCCGATACCGCGGATAACCTTGAAGATCATCACGACCAGCCACAGCCACCACATGACGCCGACAACGGTCCACTCCAGAAGCACGAACCCAACGCGCCGCACCCAGCGAAGCCGGCGGTTGCGCTTCCTGATCCCCTTGTCCAACGCGTCGCTGAGCTGCTTGACCTCAAGCGTGCTGGTCGTGTTCAGCTGCGTGCTCAGCGCTTCCGCATCGAGCGCCGCAGCTCGCACCCGCGGCGTCAGAGATTGATCGACTAGAGTCTCGAGACGTTCCAGCTCGGATTGGAGCGGAGCAAAGTCCGACTTGGAGAAGCGCTGCATCGACTGATGAAGGCTCGCTTTGGTGTTCTCAAATCTCTGAACAAGGTTCCTAGCCGCGCAGTCAAACTCCTCCAAGCGAGGGACTTGTGGAACCGCAGTGTGCAAATCCGCCATACTTTGGATGAGGAACTTCGAAGGCGGATCTGCAGTCGTTTCAGCCCTGCGACAGATCTCCCGAGCCTTAATACCGGAAGACAGAAGAAGCGCCCGGAATCGCTCGATCTCTCGCTTCTCAGTAAGGTTGGGATCGCTCAATGTGGTCATGCTGCGGCCGGAAATACTCCAAGTACGTGTAGCATCTGAAAGCACAGGCCGCTTGTTGCGCGGAGCAGAACTTGAAGAAGCATCTATATTAGCCAGGCCTGTCACTGGCGGTCGATCTTTCCCGATAGACCCTGGGATCTCAACCTTCTTCGCTCGGTTCTGTTCCAGCAGAGCCTTCAGGGCAGAGCCAAAACCGTAGCTGGGCCTGCGGTCACCATAGGAGGTACTTGAGTCCAACAGCTCAAGCGAGGACGGTGACTCGTCTGTCTGATTCGTTACCGAGAACTGGACGCTACCAACACGGTCGGAATTGCGAGGCGAACGCACCCGCAGATCTTGAGGAGAACCGAACTCGGGGGATCTGGAATGATCGCCACGGTCATCATATCGAAAGGACGGTGCAAAAGTCGGTAAATTGGATATGAAAGACTTTGGCAGTTCTTTGTCCGTTTCCCTTCGAGAAATTATCTCCAGTTCGTTATTGAACAACGTTGCTGAACGGCGTAGGGGTGTCCTTTTTCCGGCCTTTGTCTCGCCATCGGTTTTCTCATCATCCGATTCGCGATAATCGGATACGAAGCTCGATGCATAGGACGACCGCCGGGAATGACCTCCCCCGTCCTTCCGCAAAATGAAGTCGCCGACCCGGGATACTTCGCTGCCGACAATCTCGGCGATCCTACCGCCCTTGAAGAGCCCACGAAGCTTAGATTCCTGCTGGGCAGATGACTTCTGCCCCTTGGTGGTGTCCGACCTGCGTAAATCACCAACGCTTGGTTCATCTGGCTGTTCTGGCAAGGGGCTTGGGCCTAAAATCTTGGTCCGATCACCATCCCTATGTGTAGTGTGCTGTAGATCGGCTTCGGGGAAGCTTTCGTCAACGACAATTCCTTGGTCCAGTTGATTATTACGCTTGCTCTTGCTTCGCTCATGTAAGGAGCCGATAACTCGTGGAAAGGGCTTCCTTCGCGGGGAGGGTGAGCGACTTGAAGGAGGAGAGAGGTTGGCGGTGATGCTGGGAAATAGAGGGCCGTGCGACGGCGAATTAGGCGCAGTGCTATCCAAGTCCAAGGACATACGGGTGTCGTCTTTCTCGATTATACTTGCTGCAGACGAAACAGGCACTTTACTCGTTTCAACTTCTCGTTTCCCGCTATCGTCCCTCATTTCCATCGAAGCTCGATGAGAAAATGATCTATGCGCAGACTGTATGTTGTCCTCTGGGTGGATGGCATCCTTCTTGGGAGATGCCGAACGGGACTTTGCCAAACTCGAGATTTTCCTAGCGTGAATAGCAGCCTCGAGTTTGCTATTGAGTCTCTTCTCCCAGTTAGCCTGCCGACTTCTACCACGGGACATCTCGTCATCGCTGGTAGAGTCACTTGAAGAGCTGCTAGACCGACGAGCAGCCGCTGTCCATTTGTGATCCTTGGCTCTATCGGAGCTGCTGGGACTGCGAGGTATGTGTAGAGCGCTTCGCAATTTATGCCGATGATGGCCACGATCGGAACTCCTCTCATGCCTGGTATGCTCAAAAGTAGGTAAAACAGCAGGTGACCCTATTTCCTCTGTAGATGTAGGTTTCTCTTGCTTTGAGGTAGTCACGTCAACTGCGGAGAGATTTGGGGCCGGAGCATCACCACCAACACGCTTGAGTTTTGTCGGGTCAGGATAGAGCTTGTTACCATCCTTATCGACGATTTTGGCCTTGTTGAGACCGTCCTCGAGCCAGGCAGCATCTGCGAGGAGCTCGGCAGGGGTGATCATCCAGTCGAAGCGTGGTCTTTGAGGTTTCGCACTGCCTGTGACGTTCGATCGCCTTGCGCTAGATGAGGGCGAGACTGCCATTTCGTCTGCTTTCTCGTCCTCACCTTTCCTCTCTTCAGGTGGAGATTGAAAGGGCGGCAATCTCAAGCACAGGTCAGGATCTCGACTCTCACCGTGCAAACCTTCAATCGTGTTAACCCATTCATGCACCTTGGCCACATCATGCCACCCCTCCGATTCGACGTTAATGTGATACTTCTCTCGATATCTAACCTTCCGATTGCGAATACATTGAAGAGGATTGTACTCCCGGCCAGGGGATGGATCATCAGTGGACGACGCGGAATCTTGGCTTGAGGGGCGAAGAGGCGGCAGGTGGGAAAGCAGTCTAAGATACTCCCAAAAGAGCTCAAAATGCTGACGGGCCTTTTCTGCTCTCGCAAGCGTGGAATCTGAAAAGTCATACGACACCTGCCAATCACGATCGCTGGTCCCAGGCAGAACACCTGGAGGGGCAAGACGCTCTGTCACGGGCTCCTGTGAAGAAGGTGATGATGCAGAACGAGGAAAACTCCTTTGAAACCTGTTTTCCACAGCTGTATAACTAGAATGACGATGAGCTTGTGATGAGGCTTGTCCGACACTCGCCGCAGATCTCTGCACATGATTATCGACAGGCATAAAATGGGCCTGACTGCTGGAAACAGTCCTCCTTCCACCTGGCAGGGGGCTAGAAGGAACACGACCAGCGTAATTCCGTCTTCGGGACTCGCTGAGGTTCAAAGCCAGATTCACAATCTGCACAGGATCCGTGTCCAACCCAACCCTGGGACTATTGGAAAGAGCAGAAGCGGCGCGGGGAGTCGTATTCGCACTTTCTGAGCCTGCAGATTCCGAAGCATGCTGAGCGGTACCGTCAGCAGGAGTGGCATTCGTCACAGTCGTTGCCAAGGGCGAGCTGCCCAACGAGGGTTTCTGTTGATGCCATGTGGAGCGATGTGATGATCTCTTTTTGGGAACTGTAATCTCTGTCTCCGCAGCTCTCCTTTTGCCGCTGCTACTGCTCAGAGAAAGGTGCGGACGGTGAATCGAACCTAGGAGTCGTGCAGACGGCCCGAAGGCAGAGTCAAGTAAGAACCCTCCAGAGCTATGGGTCCTTCGTGGCCTGTGGCTTCGTTTCTCCTCATCTCGGGAGCTGCTGCCCAGTGTACTGCCCTCTAATTCCCCGCCAACGACATTGTTGTCATCCATTTGCACGTCCCTTTGAGACTCGGGATTGCCATCCGCTCGACCTCGATGCCCGTTGTGGACAGCAGAGGTGGACTGATGGCTATCAGACGAAGAAGCGAGATTCTGTCCTTTCACATCATTCCGATGATTCGACATGGGAGACGCAGTGTATCAGCCGTATTCGGTCCTGTGTTGCACGAGCTGCCGCGGCACCATGGAGGCCGTTATCACCGACTACGGAGCATCTGCGAGCTGAAGTCGGAATAGGGGACGCATCAAGTTTGACAGTGTAGACACCAAACTGAACAGACCAAGCACAAAGGGAAGAACAAAATATGAGTTGGAAACCGCGAAATCTGCAGGACGGGAAACTAATTCCCTAGCTATGCTGCTATAACGGCGCCGACTCCTGCAGCATGCAGCCAACTCATGCCTGTGACGCGTAGAGCAGCAGGTGCAAACGCTGCAAACCAGCGGGTTCGCTGCGGAGCCGAGTCCAACCTATGGATACGGAGTACAGGTCCATTGTATGTATCAGTTTGAATGCGCGATAAGCAGTCAAAAACTACCACAGAGAGATCTGAAATATCCAGCTCTTTGCATTTTATATTTTAGAGCTCTATTGACTACAATATGAATCTATGGTTCAGACCGGAAACCTCAAACATCGAGATATTACCAACAAAGGAAATCTCGCATTGAGTCTAGACAAGAATACAGCTATGTTTTACAGTTCTGTCTACGTGAAACTAGAGAAAGATAAATACCGTAAAATCCTTAGGCCTCAACTCTCAGACACTGGAGTCGGGCTTCCGTCTCAATAACCTGTGTATAGCACACGATTGTTAGTTAACTGGCAAGGCAAGCGGCCGGCGAAAGGCTTGTCGGGAATGCTTACCTCTAGAGCTTGTCTCACTTCCAATACCCGTCTAACGTCGGCCAGCCAGTCCTTGCTCAAGATTTTGGCCCATCCCTTAAGGGTGTTCATCTCCCGCGCAGCTGCGTCAAGATTGCCCTCTTCCAGCAGATTCTCTGTCCGCGTGAGGACGCTCTCCACATCGTCGCCGCCAGCCAAGCCGTCCTTCTTGAACATCACCTTGCTCAAGACAAGGCTGGCGGCGTGGCTGGCAATGCCTGCGTCTTCAGGAAGCAGGCTAGCCTTTCGCACCTCAGCGGCCACACGGCGGAAGCGGTCGATAATCTGAGAGGTAGAAGGAATACCACGCTGGTAAGCCGTAGGATTGATCGAAGCAATGGCAGCCGCCACAACAGGGTCGTCCCCGGCCAGCTCCTTTACAGCAACAAGCTCGCGGACAAATGGCCTCGGCGTATCCGCGTTGTCGAGCACGGAGCGAACAGCGTCGATGGCAACCTGAAGCTGCTGAGTCTTCAGATTCGTGTCAATGACGTCGCTCCAGCCCGTAGCGAGCTGCTCAAGCTGGTTGACGTTAGCAGAGAGCTCGTTCAACTTGCTCAATCGGCCCTCGCGCTCTCTCTCGACCAGCTCTTTCACGTCGTTAAGGAATTTGCGGTTCAACTCGATAGCCTGTTCGACGAGCTCATTCTTCAAACGCTGTTCGGCCAATTCCTGTGCTTTCTGGAGTTCCGTCTTGATCTTCTCCTGGTACGCAAGAGAGAGTCTCTCACGTTCTGCTTCGAATTCCTCCCGGTACTGAGCAGCTTCCTCGGCACGTGCTTCATCGATGCGGCGGTAAAGTTCTCTGGCAGCTTCGTCGAAAGTAGCATGTGCCCTCTTGATCTCCTCCTCGGCCTGTTTTTGAGCGTCTGTTCGAATGGCCGCGATCTTTTCTCCTATGCTCTCAATTTCACTCTTCGCTTTCGCAAGCGGCGCAGAGTATTTATCCGCGGCACCATCGGCGCTGATGACAGTGATAACGTCATTGAACACCTTCACCAACTCTTGAACCACAGGCTCGTCTCCTTCCTTGACTTTAATGAGTTCAATAGTGCTGACAGCAGGTTTCCGTGGTTCCTCTTTAGGCTGCTCCTTCTGAGTATGACGCTTTGGTGGCTCCGATTTCTTTGCAGATTCCTTGACAGCCTGATTCTTTGCTTCCGACTCTGCCTGGCGGGCTTCCTGCTTCTGCACTGCGCTATTATGCGGGCCCTTGTGAGAGATATCGGTTGGTGTCGTTTCATTCTCTGCTACCTTCCAAGAAAGCCCACTCTTGCCGGGAATGGTCACCTTATTGGCTTCTTCCTTCTGAACAGGAGGAAGGCGGTTGGGATGCCTTCTGGCGTTGGGGAATCGGCGGTAGAAATCGCGTTCTTCAAAGTACAGGACGCTCTCTTCCCCAAACGGAACATATTCGGTGAAGAAATCATGGAAGTTGTCGAACTTCAAGGCAAGGTAAATACCGGCACCGTACGCAAGACCGGAGGTGAGGAAGAGATAGAGAAGGAATCTCCGAAAAACGACCGGTTTTCCGTGGGGCTGGAGGCTTAGGAGAAGCTGAAGTATTGCCAGTGTTGTCAGCAGGTGGCTGCGGAGGTTGTATCGATGTCGGGGGAGATGTCTGACCCTTTCCAGTGGGTGACGGCGGTACCTGGCCAACGTTCTCGGGAGGAATTGTTGACTGCGAGGCAGGAGACGCAGGGGTTGGACTGGTGGGAGGGGTATTTGACGAGTCGGCGAAGTATCTCTAGACAGATCAAATGGTTATTAGAGGCCATTGCATCAAGCAACAGCAGGTTGGTGACATCCGTACCTGGCCGAAGATGCGACTGCTCGCGGCAGGTCTGGCCAGCAATTGCGTCGCTGTCCGCTGCCGAACCGCGGACGAGAGCCGCTGCTGGCTGGACACAATTGAGTAGCGCAGCATGGCGGGCTGCCCTCCCTTTGGGTGCGAGTGTTGGGTGGGCGTGGGTGGTAGGAGAAAGGTGGTTGTTCGAGAGAGGACGCGGGCCGAGATTTGGTGATGCTTTCTTTTTTACGATCCGGTCCGACGGTCCCTATGCCGCCCGATTGCGGGTACCTGACAACGCTACCTCCGGAGTTCACGGCCACACACTGGGCCAGCAAGCGCGCAGGCACGCGATCATCGTCCTGGCTTGGCTCAATGAATCTGGAGACTAATACATGACGAGTTTAGTCTACCAATTTCGAGATTTTGCCTCTTTGTCGGCGTCTCCTCTTGACTTGCCCGTCCACTCTGATTGACAGCAATATCAGCAATCCGGAGTAAGCATGTCCGGGTAGTCAAGTGGCTGAGCTCAAATCGTACATTGAGTTCTGGCGCATTACTTGAGCATCCTAGGCTATAGAGAGAGAGTCAAGCCTAAAAAAAGAATAAGACGGCGAAAATGCTTACTGATACCAGGTGTGGGACCGAACAGACCCATGGGGACCGGAAGTTTTTCTCCCACCTTCTACATAAAAAAAAAGGACATTTTAGACATTGTCTGAGGAATACTCTAAGAAAAAAGGGACCCGTGAAATTAGAATCCTGGATGAGATATGAGTATTTAGGTTAGTGCCTAAGGTAACAGATGGATGATATTTGACCTCCACCCAACAGGTATAACGACGCCAAGAGAAAGCAGCAGCATAGACATGAGGGAAAAAGGAAACACAGCACAAGCATATGACTCAGCATGGAACGATCTAGCGTTAAAGAGAAAATTCGACCTTCCACGATGACCCAACCCTCACAACAGCGACAATGAGGTGATATCCGAACCAGAACGAAGAAGGTAAAGGAAGAAGGAAAGTGCATTAAAAAAGGTTCATGTATTGAAGCTGAGTCGACCTTTTCGACCCAGGGTGAACGCAAGCAAGCCTCGCTCAACTTGCTTCACACTATCGTTTGCGACTGAACGGGGAATACCCAGAGTGTCGGATTTGGTTGTGGACTGATCGTCAAGCGAATGTCCAGCCAGAGACACAACTGGGTAGGATAACACGTGTCTGTTTTCCACTGATGGGGGAATTATACACAGAGTTCAACGGAAAACCGTTAGACAAAAACAATATGGAGACATTTAGCAAGCGCAGGCACCGGCGCCTTGGGCGCCAGCTGCCTCTGGCCTTAAGTCCACTCCAGGGCGTGGATTTGTCCGAAGATTCCGTGGTCCAGCCTGATCGAGAGGAAGCTTCTTTGCGATAGCGGTAAACAGTTCCCGAACATTGGTTGCGGTCTTTGCAGAAGTCTCGAAGAAGAGAAGGCCAGCCTCACGAGCATATGCCTCGGCATCTGCGGTCGGAATAGCACGTTTGTCTGGGTTCTCCGTGACCAGATCGAGCTTGTTACCGGCAAGGGCGATGATGATGTTCTCGTTAGCTTGGCGTTGGAGTTCCTTCACCCACGATTTAGCCTTGTCTAGAGAAGCCTAGATACGTTGTCAGTCAGCTGCAAGCGGCGGAAAGTGGTGAAATGCAGATGCATACAGCTTGCGTAATGTCGTAAACGACCACAGCACAGTTGGCATTTCTGTAGTACATGGGCGCCAGAGACTTATATCTCTCCTGACCGGCGGTATCCCATATCTCGAACTTCACAGTCGTACTTTCATCCAGCGAGATGGTTTGAGTGAGGAACGCCGCACCGATCGTGGATTCCCGGTAGTCATCGAATTGATCCTATTCAGTGTCAATAGAGGCATCTCGCGGGAGATAAGGAGCGCCACCAAGACCTACTTTGACGAATCGCAAGACTAGCGAGCTCTGCAAAGGTAACAGCACATTAGCTCCCAGGATCACAGGATCTCGTCATGCAATAAGCTGTTCTAACCTTTCCGACAGCAGATTCTCCTGTGACAGACAGCAATGTTAGCTCAACTGAGTTCGATGATCCGGTGGGGCAAATAATGGTGGCTAACCAAGCAACACAAGCTTGAACTGAGCAAATCTCGCACCGGGACGGCCTGCTACTGGTGCTCTCGCAGCCATGGTCGCAACGCTCGAAGGAGCAAAGAAGAGGTCGATACAAGGAGGATACGCACTATCGGGGATGGGAGTACGTGAGGGTGGGATAAGGAAATCGGGAGTAGGTACTTGTGACGGGATGCAAGTTGGGGCGTTGAGGTTTGGAGCACGGAGATGATGGCGGCAGCCTGCTCTTTGGCCTCTGGTCTGGAGCCGCGGATGACGAGTGACGAGTGACGAGACAGCCGCCCGGCTGGGTGGATCCTGCACTGCCAACGGAGCCACATGCAACCCGCCACCGCTGATAACCATCCCGGCTTAGGCAATACATGCTCTCTCTCGACGTATTAATTAATATCCCAGATGCGTCCTACCGGGTATACTCTGGAGTAGTAGGTAGGTATCCAGGTAGCTATCATCTGCCCGATATATCGAGAAAATGCGACTAGTCACATATATTTCCCTGCATGACTTGCCGCTTGGGTTTAAGATTATGTATTAGAGGTCAATGACAAGATTGACTGCTATCAGTAGTAGCAATAATAGCAAAATGCAATCCATCTGCTGCGTTCAGATATTAAGGAAGAATTTTTGATTGCGCCTGAAAGAATTGCACGAGAAATGAAATAGTTCCTGTCGCCGCCTCCTGAGTCCCGTCGCTCTTTTCCCAAAATGGTTGTTGCCTCTCCTGACGCAAATTCTCTACACCATCATGATCTCCCCAACTTCTTTGATCTATCCCTCTGGTTAGAAGACGGAGATCTCTGTCCGAGTGAATCGATATAATCATATACCTGACTGACCCTACCTTCCATACAAGTCTTTCTGCGATTGTATCCAGCAATCGTCCAAAATTTACAACCTCTTTCCTCGCGGCACGATTGCGAAAATGTCTTCAAACGCCTGCAGTTGGCGATGTGTTCTTTGGTCTGGGTTCAAGTCCAGAGGAGATCCAAGGGGGCATCTGTGCTGGGTAGTTATCCTGCTGAAGTCGCTAGACTTAAAGGACTGGACCAACTTTTCACACTCAGAGATCATTTAGTAAGAGTCTGCTCGGATTATTACTGATGGTAATATTACACTGCCATTTAAAAACGGTTGGTTGTACAGAAAATAATGACGGTACGGAGTAAGCTTCTGGATTCCCGTCCAGAAACTGTCAATTTTGGCGGTTTAGACCAGGATGGTCCAGAGAAATAGGAGTATAGGACTACATGTAGCTACTTTTACTATCGTTATTTCATTTAAGGCTGTAGACATTTATTCTCCATTTATTCTATGGATATTATTGGAGATTTCTTGGACTAAATGGGTTACCAGCATCAGTGATGCGTGCGCCAATCACCTGACTTGAAGCGGCGTGTCCAGGTGGCATTTCTAAAATAATATTACCCACTTCGGATTGGAGCCTAACCATCGCCGGAAACAGGTAATTTGAGTTCCAAAGACACGGCTCTCCGTCACCAAAGCAGCAACTCGTCAACATCTGGTCCGATCGATCGATAATTCTGAATTTCTCGTCATGCGCTGAGGCGGTACATACACCACATTGATCATTCTTCCCCCAGTCCAGCGTAACAGCCTTGGTCGGCGATGGCGCGTCCGGTTCTCCCGTTCAGGGACATCAATCTACACTCGTCCCCCTCGCACTACGCATTTACTTCTCCGTCATCTCCCAGCTCTCCTACTCTGGTCGTCGAGCGCCCAACGGGAGACCTGCGTCTGAACGATGGCTCGCTGCTGGGAACCAAACGCGTTTCCAGCATTGCTGGAATCCTGGGGATTATAAAGCTGAAGCTAGGTACATTGCGTTGCCGTGCCCTGTTGTTGCGACAACGAGAAACTGACAGTCAAAAGACAAGTACATCATTGTCATTACGAAGGCCCAGCCCGTGGGAAGACTCCGAGGTCACATGGTGTACAAGGTCGTAGCGACTGAGTTTCTCCCGCTCCGTGAACGTCCGTTGCACGATTCCGATGAAGATACCTATCTTGCTCTGCTCAAGGACCTCCTTCGCAATGGACCTATGTACTTCTCCTACTCTCTCGATCTTACAAACAGCTTCCAGCGGCAGTCTCAGAGCGATCCGAGTGCTCCACTGTGGAAACGGGCTGATGACCGATTCTTTTGGAACCGTTTCATCATGTCGGACTTGATCGATTTTCGTCTTGGAACAAATGATGCGAGTGGTGTGCGGTATGGCCCGCAGCCAGGGGTGGACCCGTATATATTGCCGGTTATCTTTGGAATGCTGCGGATCACTCCTGCAAAGGTCAAGTCGACGTCCTTCACATTCGCTCTCATCACGCGGAGATCGAGATACCGTGGCGGAACGAGGTACTTTTCTCGCGGCATCGACGAACAAGGCCACGTGTCCAACTATAACGAGACGGAGCAGGTGGTGATCCTAAACGATGCCACTGGTGGATTGGCTGGCTTTGCTGGAGGTCAAGCGATGCAGAATGGGAGGGCCGATGGGTCAGGCCAAGATCTCCAGGTGCTGTCATTCGTTCAGACTCGGGGTAGTGTGCCCGTGTTTTGGACAGAAGTTAACAACCTTCGCTACACACCGAAACTCCAAGTCCGAGGCGCGGAGATCGCGGTTGAAGCTGCGCGGAAACATTTCGCGGAGCAGATCAGAATCTATGGCGAAAATTATCTGGTCAACTTAGTGAATCAGAAAGGCAGGGAAGAGAGGGTCAAAAGGGCCTATGAGCAATTAGTCCGTATCTTGGTGTCTTCGCCTAGAGAGACCACTGAAACAGATTTCCCCGTCACAAACGAAAAGGTCCATGTCGTCGAGACGAACCAGAGGAAGCAAGACATGGACCGTCTCCACTACGTTTATTTCGATTTCCACAATGAGACGAAGGGACTCAAGTGGCATCGAGCACAATTGCTATTGGACCGGTTGACGGATGGGCTCATGCGTGGACAGTATTTCCGGGGCGTCGAAAAACCCGGAGACCCGAACGGACAGTTGGATATACGGACTCTCCAAACGAGTGTTGTGCGAACGAATTGCATGGACTGCTTGGACAGGACCAACGTTGTCCAGAGCATGCTTGGGCGATGGACAGTGACACGACAATTGGTCGACGTGGGAGTCCTTCGTCCTGGAGAGTCCGCAAGCGACGACCCAGAGTTTGAGCACATATTTCGCAACATGTGGGCTGACAACGCCGACGTTGTCTCAAAGGCTTATTCAGGTACCGGGGCTTTGAAGACTGACTTTACTCGGACCGGCGAGCGCACCCGTGCTGGCATGGTCCAAGATCTTTCCAATTCGATTACCCGATATATCCGTAACAATTTCATGGATGGTCCGCGACAAGATGCGTACGATCTCTTCCTGGGTGCCTACCTTCCAGCGGATTCGACTTTTGGTGGTATGCTGCTCTTTATTGATCGCAGACCGGTCATCATTCAGGCTATCCCGTACATTCTTGCAGCGAGTATTTTCATGATCATGGTGGCCACTTTTACACGACGCTTGCCTGATGCCGCCGTATGGCCACTGAGGTTGTTCATCATCTTTTGGATGGTTGTCGGTGCATGGTGCTTCCGCTTCATCGTCACTCACGGAATGCTCTATGTAGGTCTTCTCTTCCCTAGTGCTCGCCGCCTATTTAGCACTGACCCGGTGAAAGGTCAACTGGCCCAAGCTGAATCCTCCTGCCGCGGCTTTGGAAGGATACCAGGATGCCCTGATATCTGCCCATTCCGACGAAATAATTGGCCGGTGGTTGCCAAGCAGAAGACACCAACGTGGCTACAGTAATGCTCGTTTGGGCTATATGGAAGAGGGCAAGAAGAGAATCGAATAAGGTCTACATAACCCGTATGGTATTCATTCCTTTTCATTTCCTTGGATTTTTCTCCCCATCCTTGCGTCCCATGTTTGAGAAATTCGTTCATCATATCCACGTTTTTTTTTTGCGCTTCTGTAAAATAGAGCTGTCTTCAGGGTTGGGATCTTCCGGTCTTGCTTTTTTTCTTACGAGTCCTGTCATATGCCTTTAATTCTTGGCCTGTTTTCCTTTCCTTTTTCTCTTCCCCTTTCCTTTCCTTCCTTTTCTTTTCATTTTTCTCCATTCCTTTCCCTTTTCCTCTTTTTCTACTTCTCAGATAAGCTGCGATTTGCCTTTGCAAGATACGTCGTTGCAATTCCTTTTCTGATATCAAATATTTGGAGATTTTATTGCGTTTCCACATTTCCTCTTCCATATCCTTCAAGTTCCGTAGCGCGATTCCCTGAAGAATTTTCACGGTTGCTAGGGGCTTTAGTATATGGAAACAACAATAGTCCCCATCGATCTCAACCAGCAGCTTGGCCTTGCTTTGGAATCCAAATCGCAATGGCTATGATCAACAATAGTAACTGCCTTGATAAGCCATTGATAATCCATGCGATAATCCTTATCTATTGGTCACGTGGAAGCGGGCAATGCCCGATAAGGCCGATTAATTACTACGGAGTAAAGCTTCCGAAACCTTCGGAGAGATGACTCTCTCACTCATATTATTTCGCCAACAATTTCCCTTAGATCCTGGCCTCCAAATGCCCGTGAAAGGGCTTTGGAAGCTTGGTACTTCTCTTCAGTACCGTCAGCTCCGATTTATATCTTCCCGGTCCACCACAATGGCTCAACGCACGTACGAGGTTGGAGCCCCTCTTTCCATTGTTCCTACCTGATTGCCTCTCGAGAAAGCGCAGAGCTTGCTGACGATCCTCATCAGGATGCCATTAAAGCATTGAATTCGTTGCAATCAAATTTTGCGATCGTTGATGCGATCAGGAAGTCTGGACGGGGGATGAACCAACAAGCTATTCCGGAGATGATTGAATGGTGCAGAAGAATTGGATACGAGGTTGGTAACTACCTCATATTGGGATTATGAAATTGCGCTTCTATAATGTTCTTATTAACGTAGAGAGGCGACCAAATCCTGCTGACTCTTGTCTTTATTTCAGCCGTCTGATTTGAACCGTCTTAACCCCATCCATATCGCCGGAACGAAAGGCAAAGGATCGACCTCTGCCTTCATCTCTTCCATCCTTACCCAGTACCTCCCATCCGCGTCAGGCGCACCCTCTCAAGGTCCCGCTAAGATTAATAAAGTTGGTTTATATACATCTCCTCACCTGCGATTCGCTCGCGAACGTATCCAGATCAACAATACCCCTCTGTCAGAAGAGCAGTTCGCCAAATACTTCTTTGAGACATGGGACCGTTTAGAAGAGTCCGCGCGGGCAGAAGGCATGGATCCTACTGATCCTCGGGCGAAACCAGTCTATTTCCGGTTTTTAACGCTCATGGCATTTCACACTTATATGAGTGAAGGCGTGGATGCGGCTGTGATTGAATGCGGAATCGGAGGAGAATATGACAGCACAAATATAATTGTTCAGCCAGCGGTATGTGGTATCACAAGCCTTGGTATCGATCATGTCGCCGTCTTGGGATCTACGATTGAGGAAATTGCCTGGCATAAAGGGGGAATTATAAAGCCTGGTGCCAAGGCTTTCACCGCTCCCCAAGCGGAGAGCGCCCTGGAGGTTCTTTTCAAAAGAGCAAAGGAAAAGGGGACTGAGATAGTAGTCGCCGAAGGCCATCCCGAGCTTCAAAAAGGTGGGCCGGTGAAACTCGGCCTCGCCGGTGACTTTCAATACACAAATGCTACTGTAGCAGCTGCAGTTGCTGGTGAATTTCTTAGGTTGAAGGGAGTGGAAGGTATCCCAAATGACATCCTGAAGGAGCCATTACCTGAAAAGTTTCGAAAGGGCTTAGAAGATGCCAGACTAGGTGGCAGATGTGAGACGCGTCGGGAGAGAAACGTTTCTTGGTACATTGACGGAGGGCACACTCTTGAAAGCATCCGGGTCGCCGGAGAGTGGTTTGCCTCCCAAGTGATTACCAACACTTCTCCTGATGCAGTCCCAAGCAGGAAGCCCAGGGTTCTAATATTCAACCAGCAGACTCGAGACAGTGTCGCGTTGGCACGGGCACTTTACCAGACCTTAGCTGCTGCTCTGGAGACGGAAAAGCCCTTTACCCATGCTATATTCTGTACAAATGTCACATACAAAGATACAGGATATAGGCCTGATCTTGTCAGCGTGAACACCAATGCCACTGACGTGGAGAAGTTGAGCGTGCAGAAGAACCTTGCCCAAACATGGCAGGAGATCGACCCCAGCACTGAAGTTCTGGTTCTTGGTACGATCGAAGAGGCAGTCGAGTTTGTCCGTTCTCTCGCCGATAAAGAAAGCGCCCCATCTCAGGGCGAGAATGAGGTCAAAGCCCTTGTCACAGGTAGCCTACACCTTGTGGGGGGCTTCCTCGATGTGATTGAGACCAAGCCTGGTCGGCTTCCAAACTAAATGAGCAGATGTTTTCCTTCACGTGAAGATTCTCTGCCGTTTGCTTTTTAGGATTGTACAGTCTGATGTGTCATGCCTTCAACAAGCAACGTTATGGTTCAATGGATTCCCCCTTTTGTCTGCTTTCAACAATCACTTGTCATTCGCCTTCCTCTTTCTTCCTTCACTCGTTGCTTTCTCTGCCTTTCAAGATGTGTATAAATCGGAGGCGTTGTCGGTATGGTTTCAACACTGGTCTCTTCATCGGATGTCATTGAACTTTGTAAGATGCTTTCAAGCACAAAAGTTATGGAGTTCTCAGTTTTCAAGGAATACCACATCACCAGCTGGGAATAAAGGGTGGATAGATCACAAAGAACCTGGCCTGTATGTACGTCATCTGCATTCACAATACATATAAATATATCAGAATCCCATGAACAAAGTAATTTAATTTCTAGTGTCGGTCAACACTCCAAGTGAATTACAGAGTTCTGGGGTGAGTTCTAGTCGTCTACAACCGAGGCGACTTATCACAGCCGCCAAGTGGGCGGTTTAGTCCTTCCCGCTTTCCACGCCGGGGCCCGTGTCAAGTCGCGTGCAAGACACCGGACCGACCAGGTTCTCTCTCGCCACAAAATCTCCATACTGCCTTCACTTTCTGCAGCCATGTCAGAATCAAAGGAAATCAACGGCAAGGCTTCCGGCGACGCCAACGAGACTGGGAACGTTGAGGCCGTCGAGACGGTCAAGACCGCCGCTGCGAATGCGGAGAACGATGCGACCAGCGCCACGCAACCCACAACAGAGCCTTCGGCCTCGGCAGACAGCGAGAAGGAAAAACAGGCTGGCAAGAAGTCCAAGGATGGAGCAGAACAGGGTTCATCGGAGGGCAAGTCAGACAGAAAGCTGACTCCGAATATGATCGACTCGCTGTTGCGGTTGAACCCCGCTTTGGCCGGCGAGTTGGCGGGCATGGAGAAGGACAAGGCCGCCGAAACGCTTGCCAAGATGAACATCGCCGATCTCCTTACTGGCCTGTCGATCGGGAAGAAGAATCAGAAAGATATGGCGTCCTACAAATTCTGGCAGACCCAGCCGGTGCCGCGTTTCGACGACAAGCCCGATCTCCAAGAAGGGCCGATCAAGATCATCAACCCCGATGAGGTGCAGAAGGAGCCTTACCCTCTGCTGGACGGGTTCGAGTGGGTAACGCTGGACTTGACGGATGAGAAAGAGCTCTCAGAGTTGTATGATCTCCTATCGAACCACTATGTCGAGGATGACAACGCCATGTTTCGCTTCAACTACTCGCGGTCGTTCCTGAAGTGGTACGTTTCTCTCCCTTTTAACCACTGCTCGTTATGTATGAACTGGAACTGACATTTACGGTTGTGACAAGGGCTTTAACGTCGCCGGGCTGGCAGAAGGAATGGCACGTCGGAGTTCGCGCGTCGAAGTCCCGGAAGCTCGTCGCATCCATCTGCGGTGTGCCTTCGGAGATCCGTGTCCGCGGTCAGCGGATGAAAGTCACGGAAATCAACTTCCTCTGTGTCCACAAGAAATTGCGCTCTAAGCGTCTTGCACCGGTGTTGATCAAGGAGATCACCCGACGATGCTACCTGAAGGGTATCTACCAGGCCATCTACACCGTGGGTGTGGTGTTGCCAACGCCTGTTACTTCATGCCGATACTACCACCGTCCCCTGGATTGGCTGAAGCTGTATGAAGTCGGCTTTTCTCCTCTCCCCGCGGGCTCGACCAAGGCGCGTCAAATCACCAAGAACCACCTGCCCAGCAATACGGCGACGCCTGGCCTTCGGCCAATGCAAGAGAAGGATATTGACGCGGTCTATGATCTGCTTGAGCGGTATCTAAGACGCTTTGACATTAACCCGGCGTTCACGAGGGAGGAGATTGACCATTGGCTACTCCCTAAGGAGAGTAACGGGGAACAAGTGGTCTGGTCATATGTCGTGGAGGATCAACAGACGCAGAAGATCACTGACTTTGTTTCCTTCTATTCTCTGGAATCCTCTGTTATTCAAAACCCGAAGCACAAGGAGGTTCGTGCTGCATATCTGTACTACTATGCGTCGGAGACTGCGTTTTCAGAGAAGGAGAAAGGCCTTAAGGAGCGGCTACTGATGTTGATCAACGATGCCCTTATTTTGGCCAAGAAGGTAAGCCTCCCTTCATCATGGATTGTAGCCGGCCCAACTAACGCATGCCAACAGGCCCATTTTGACGTCTTCAACGCCCTCACTCTCCACGATAACCCGCTGTTCCTGGAACAGCTCAAGTTCGGTGCTGGTGACGGCCAACTGCATTACTACCTGTTCAACTACCGTACTGCTCCTGTTCCTGGTGGAGTCAATGAGAAGAACCTCCCGGACGAGAGGAAGAGAGGAGGCATGGGTGTGGTTCTCCTGTAAAGTACTTCACGTCCATGATGATTTGAACTGGCATGGTCATCCAAGGGACCGTGGCTATTCCTGCCTGCTGCATATGTAGTAGCGGGCGCAAAAATAGTTAGAAAATCTAGTCAAAACATATCGACGCCCTGAAAGAAAGGGTACGATCTGATATGATATGACCAGAAGCCGTCTCAAACCTTTCTCCTGGATTTGTGTACTTGTAAGGAGCTCCTTTGGTGGGGCGTATACCCAATGCCAACGTACCCAGACAGGAGATCTGCGACCAATGATCACAAACGTTGAGCCGATGGAGTCATTCCTTAGACTACTCCATACAGACTAGATCTCCAAGATACTTCTGCCATGTGCATGTGCAACTAACACGATGTTGACCCACTTAGCTAGCCTTCAGCTACATGTACGGAGTAATTTACGTGACGTCGTCGGGAGGTTCTCCTTGCGCTCTTTCACGGAGTCACAAAAGGGCAAGGACTGTTTATTTTAATTCTTCTATCAGATGTTCGTTATCTTTTACGTGTGATTTTGTTGCTTTATTCTTGTTTATTTTTTATTTTTATATCTTGCTTGACGTACTGCCTGGGACTAGACTACCTGCTAGCTGCATCGGAGATTATTCGAGTTCCTATCGATTATCGATCGGATTGTGGGGCAGAGGACGGCATGGCATGTACTGTACGGAGTACATTACTTCATCTCTCCCATTGCCCTCTGTCTAACTACGTTACCATATTATTGCATCCATTTGACGACGGCGATGCCTTTGATTGACTTCTTTATCTTCAGAGAATGATGACAATGTCAAGTTGACGCTCTTCCAAAGTGATCCATCCAACCCAGGCAATGAAACGGGGATACGTATCGCTTGGCATTTTCGGAGCAGCATAGCAGCTGACGAAGTCATCTTCTGCACTTTCGTGCTGCGTTCGAATCTCTCCATATTTTGCCTGTCATTCAAGCTAGGAAAGTCCGTTGAGCCATTGTTGCACGTATTCTATCTGGGGCTGCACTTCCACCAAATATGGGCGCTGCGCAGTCTACCGAGGGCGCCGGAAATGCGTCGCCAGGTTAGTATAAGCAACCGCGACTTCTATTACTGTACAATTGATTGGATGGGACTCTTTCCTGGTTACACAGCAATTAAACCGGTGAAGCTTGTGGATGATAGCTAATTGATGCGATCATGGTACAGAGGAGCTGAGCCATCTGCTGGCAGAGCGCTTTGCGACGAAATGCTTCACGCCTCTCGAGCTGACCCATTTCAAAGACAACTTCTTTTCCCGTGCGCTGGACCAGGGCGGGCTTCGATACTGGAATGAGAAGATCCTTTCCGATTTTCTGGGCATACCTGATGGGGTGAACACCGATGAGAAGGGCGCTGGTCGTGATGCTGCTTCTCTGGATGCAGGCCCGGTCATATTCCGGATGGTGTCGTATTTGGGCGCGTTCCCCTTCCAGACGACCCTGGCGCCTAGCGTCCTGACCTTTGAGGCAATGGTCAAGGTTGTCGTTCTTCTGACGGAACGGTACGGCAAGGTGCTCAAGAGGGGGCGCAAGGATAGGATCAAGCTGCTCTTTGGCAGTCTGGCAGATGTCGCGCGAAGAGACATCGAAGAAAAGAAAGTCGAGAGCGCACCTGGTGAACCAGCCCCTTCATCTTCTTCAGAGGCAGCTGTCGACAAGCACACCTCTCATCCACCGGGATTTGCAATTGACGAGCCGGCAAACGATGACGATGAGGAGGAGGATGATGACGATCTCGCCCTCGCTGCTTTAGAATCACTCGATGCCATTGAGGTTTTCAAACACGATCAGCGAATCGATCGCGCTGTCTACGAAGCCCGGATCTCAGTCGACACATTTCGACGTCTGCTGATGTTGCTCCTTGTCATCGCTCCCTTGAAACCCCTTGAGTCCGTGTCCAAGTACACGTCCAACCTAAGCCCGGATCAACTTGCCGCTGTTCGGCGTGAAGCTGATAGCATTATCGCGGCATTCAGTCCGGAAGAAATTGCTGGCGGCATCCGGTACAGATCTTTTGCGAGAACCGTCTCCGTTTCTTTGCCTCATCTTTTCGATCCTTTGACGCCGCTGTTTGAACATCTCCTCTTCAGTAAAAACTTGGATCTATCTCGGAAACGCACCGGAGCAGAACCGTCTCATGCAGAAGATGAGGGTCAGAACGACTCCAATTCGCCACCTGAAGCTCCTGTCATCCTGCCTGGTAGCTTTGAATCTGCCATCTTAAATCCCAGCATCATATCCCACCTGTCCTTTTTCCTTCCCGCATCTCCGGATGTGAATTTGTTCCGGAGCGGTACACGCCTGCACCCGGTGTTTTCGACAACGGCACATGGCGAGTCCTTGACTTCATTCTCACATAACGTCCTCACCTGGCAAGCTCCGACACTTCTTCTCATCCAAGGCACTCAACGGGACAGGTCAGGAGCCGAGGAAAAGTTAATCACCCTGGGTGCTTATCTCCCTCAGCCTTGGAAGCCGACATCGTCAGCCCACTCTTCCGTCAATGTCAATGACCGTTCCAAACTTCCTTGCCTGTTCCAACTGCACCCATATCATGCCCTCTTCCAAGGCAACCCGTCCCCAGTCCGCGTCACAAACCGACAACCCCAGCCGTGTTCTTCTCCACGAGCACAGGCATCGCAATCGGCTGCGAAGTCGCACCTCCATCGCGCAACAGCTTTGGGCCAGGCGTGCCCGTTCGTTCGTCTCACAGTAAACGGCAACAACAACAAGCCCCCATCCCCATCGGCGCAGGCAGCCTGCTAATCGACGAGGGACTCGAGACAGCGGAGCTGCACGTATCCTACACCAGCGGCGCGGGGGGAGTATTCCTTCCCCCAGTACCGTCCAACATGCCCGTAACCACCACCCAAATCGACATCTACAACCTCGAGATCTGGGGCCTAGTCGAGGATCCCATATCATCATCAGACCCTAACCCCAACTCCTCGCGAGACGCCATCGCCCTCCAGCGCGCCCAATGGGCCTTCGACGCCCGCGAAGCAGAACGACGAAGAACAATCAACCTCAAAGTTGGCGGGTCCGACTCTTCTTCCTCTGATGTACAGAGCGCGAGAGCCCTGCTGGAAATGGCGGGTATTATAAGCGATAGTGGGAAGAGTGGTGGGAGTGTTTGATGGAAGCATTTAAATTGCTTTCCTTTTAAGATTTATTTTTTTTCTTATGATTTCCAACGATATGATATGCATGCAATGCTTTTTTTTGTTTGTTTGTGACTAAGTATGGAAATGCATGCATGCATGCACGCACGCACGGATTCATGATTATGATTAAGATTCACTTAGCAGAGCTAAGCTCAACACTTCTGAAACAGGGTATGTATGTATGTACAGTACATATGTCTATATGTACTTATGATATCTATCAACGATGGGAAACATGGGCATGGACATGGACATAGTAATCACTTTAATTATACAGACCTATCTATCTATCTCTCTATCTATTTCTAAGAAAAATCACCCGTTTCCAGTAATTCTATTCTAACGCCATAGGTAAATAAATGAGTCAGTTGAAGTCACTGACCTACACACGCAACGGGACAAGCCCGCTAGGAGGCTCGTAGAAATCCTTCAACTCTTCCTCTTCTTCCTCCTCCTCCTGGTCAGCTCCGCTGACGTGGGGTTCGACGGTCTCGGCGTTTCTGCCCTTGCCTCCTCGGGTTGCTCCCGCGGTTCCCCGTGTAGAAGCAGTAGTAGTAGTAGCAGCAGCAGCAGCAGGTTTATTGTTATTGTCTTCCGGTTCATTCGCATTGCCTTCGCCGTCGGATTCTCTCGGCAGACGGAAGGCAAGGAATCCCTCCGGGGCGCGCTCCGCTCGATCCATCACTTCTTCCATGTATTTGCGGACTTCTGCCTGGGGCTTCACGACCCGGCTGAGGGGCTCGAGGACGCCCGGCTTGCTGCTGTAAATACGGATGGTAACGGGTTGGTAGTACTCTTTGAGATTGGACGCCTCCTTGGCTTTCTCTTCGGTTTCCTTCTTCTCTCCATTCGCGGCTTGCTCGCCTGTCGAGTCTTTGTTCTCATCTTTTGACGACTCTTTATTATCTGGCTCTTTTTCTGTGGCCTTATCTTTAACCTTGTCATTATCCCCTTCCTTCTCAGCAGGAGTAGACAGTGCACCGGATTTGCCCTTGTCTTTGTCGGCCTTTTTAGACCTTGATTTCCCTTTCGTCTTCGGTGCGGCATCTGATGCATTTTCAATGGGAAATTTGGCGTTCGGATCAACCTTCCGGACAATGAGGAACGACGCTATAACGGTGTTTCCTCCTGGCAAGAACTCGAGGATCGAGTATTCTGGGAAAAGATAACGGTCTCCCGATCCGGCATGTCCTGACGTGCTGCTACCATATGGAGTAAGAGGCGACGTAAACTCAAATACCACCGCTTTGATCGGTGGCTTCGGAGGAGGCGGAGGAGGCCCGGTTTGATGGTAGTAAGCACCTGGAGGCCCATACTGCGAGTTATTGCGGGCCTTGATCGGCGGTGGAGTGGCTTGATACGGAGACTGTGGGTAAGGCGGATAATGGAGCGGACCAGGGTATGGTGAGCCTGGCTGTGGTGATTGATTTGGAGGAGGTAGAGGGCGTGGCGTGGAAGTGGTTGGTGGGGCGTTTGAGCTTGGAGCTGGTGAAGGCGTCGGCACTGGAGTTGGAGATGGACCGGGTGCAGAAGCAGGTGCAGGCTCTGCCGTCCGAGGAGGTTGCTGTGGTGGTGCAGGCGCCGGGGCAGGTGTAGAAGCCGGTGTACCAGATTCCGTCTTGACTTGCGGAGAGTTATTTGGAGCCGGGGTTTGGGGAGTAGGCGTCGGGGCTTGACTGGGAGTTGGAGGGGGCTGGGCCTGAGGGACATTGTTTTGCGCCTGCGCCTGTTCCGGGGCTGAGGGAGCCGCGGGAGCCGACTGAGGTGGTTCCGGATCTCGTGGTTGCTGCTGCTGCTGCTGCTGCTGCTGCTGTGGCTGTGGTGGCGGTTGCTGAGGGTGCTGCGGTTGCGGTTGTTGCGGATACTGCGACTGCTGGTACTGTTGCTGTTGTTGCTGCTGCTGTTGCTGCTGTCGCTGTTGCTGTTGCTCTCTGCTTCTGATAATGGCGTTGAGCTCATCGATATGCGCCTGGAAAGTTCGCAGCTGTTCTTGAGACGCCTTGCTCGACGCAACCACCCGCATCAACGCCTTTAACTCAGGGTCCTGCGCAGCCCGGGTAGCAAGCATCTGGATCACAGGATCTGGACTCGGTTTCGGCGGCTGTTGTGGGGGAGCTTGCGCAGGCTCAGGCCTTCTCGCAGGAGGAGGCTGCGGTGTCCTCTGCTGAGGATGAGGCTGGGGTGGAGGTGGATGAGCAGGTGGCGGACCACGCTGGTCCATACCCGGCTGCGGAGGCGGATGATAATTGTATGGAGGAGGCTGGCGCATCTGATTCGGAGGAGGATATGCCTGATACTGATGGAAGGCGTTGGGAGGGCCGTAGTGGACCATCTGGCGTTGCGCAGGCGCCATCTGGACGGGCGGTTTTGCATTGGGGTCCTTGACAACATACAACATCCCGTCAAAGTGGTGAGGTTCGATGATGATCTTGCAAGGCCCGACCTTGCTCATGGACTCCTTGGGAGGGTTCTTGCCTTCGATCTGCTCTCTTTTGGTCTTCTTGGGCTTCGTCCAGTATTTCTCGAAGATGCCATCGCTGAGCCATTTCTTCTTGGAACGTTCCAGGGATACTAATAGAACAGCGCTTGAGAAGAAGTCAGCATGAGAATAATTGCGCGACATGTTTTAAAACGAGAGAGCTATGGGGTGACACACCTTTCCGCAATAGACTGGTAGTCCTTGTCCGAGAGGTTCGAGGGCTGCGGCTTGGACAGCGTTGGAAGAGCTTCGCCATCCTTGACTTTTGTCGGAAGGGGCTCCTCAGGTTCCTGGACTGGTTCAGGCTCAGGCGCAGGCGATGGGACGACCACAGGCGTTGAGGCCTTCTTCTTGGAAGACTGGGGTTGCGGAGTGGCTTCGGAGGCCCTTCTCTTTGCCGCGGGTTCGCGACGCTCACGCGCGGGGAGCTTGCGTTTCTCCGCCATCGCGGCGGTGTAAGATAGCGGATCTCAAGAAGAACTCGAAGGGGACTGATGGAATATCATGCCAGGACTGAGGAGCAGGGCGTCCTGGGCAGCGGCGTGGTGGAGAGGTAGCGCGCGAGTCGCGATGGCGGAAATCTTTAGGCAGCGGAAGGAAAGGCGGAAGAGAGCGGCAACATGTGATCGGCTGTTGCTGACTTCACTCGCTGCTGTCCTGCACTCCTCCACGCTCCATGCTTGTTTCTGTTATCGCAGGTCGACAATCAAAAATTAAAATTTAAATAACTGGTAAGGATAGCTTCGCCACTCTTTTTATTTGTCTTTTGCTCTCATGCATCCGACCTGGCAATCCTGGACCTGACGGAGAGCGATGCCGTCATACCATAAACATCCCCCATAAACATCCCGTAGTGAATATTCCCATGGTCGTTCTTTGATTTTTTTCCCAGGAATTCTACCTAACATTTGTTATTTCTGTTAATTCATTTCTTTAGACGGAACACTAGCCATAATTTCAACTGACAATATAGTAGTCTACCGTACTATACAATAGCGCTTGACGTGGCCATGGTCGAGCTCTTGCCGATCTTCAAAAAGACCTACTGGTCTCTGGCCGCTGGAGGCCTTATATACGTGATATGGCTATTTTCGATGACCTTTCCTGGTCCCCAGCGTGTGTACGGAACCCGCATTCTCTTGTCAAATGAGCTGGGGCTAAGCATGGCAGCGCTCTGTACGCGCACAAGATCAATCCGACTCTCTGGCAGGACCTGAATGATGTCGAGAACTTTGGCTTTCTGAGTATGCGAGTTTTTGATCTTTTCTTCGTGGATCTAGCTGATGATAGATATGCAGGAACACAAGTGCAGCCATTCCACCTGGTGACTCCAGATAATGAGACGCTCTATGGCTGGCATATCCTTCCACTTCACTTGTGCAGAGAGCACGAGGAATTGCTCAACGAGCATATGTCTTATGGGCCAGCAGAAGATTATACCAAGACGGTCGCCTACAAGCTTCTAGCGGAGGATCCCAATGCCCGAGTGGTCGTGAATTGTAAGTGCCGGCCTCCATCAAGCAGCCACCCCAAGCAGCCAGATCTAACAGACTTGTCAGTCCACGGTAATGCCGCTCATCTTGGCTCTGCGTTGCGGCCAGAGATGTACCGCATGTACCTCGGCATTTCGACGCCGTCCAACCCGGTCCACATCTTTGCCATCGACTATCGAGGTTTCGGACTGTCGACGGGGTCTCCCACCGAAGAAGGAGTCATCACGGACGGGCTCACGCTGCTCAACTTCCTGACCTCTTCGCCTCTGAACGTTCCTCCGTCTCGCATTGCCATCGTGGGACTGAGCCTGGGAACGGCGGTGACATCAGCGGCGGCAGAGCGATTCGCATTTGGCGCGCCCGAGTCGGCGATCATCCAACCGGCGATTAAAGATCCGGAGCCCTTCGCGGGGATCATCCTGCTTGCATCTTTCAGCAATATCCCGAACCTCATCGAATCATACAGCTTGAAAGGCCTCACTCCGCCCATGCTCTCTCCGCTGATCGGCTACCCTCGCGCGCAGAAATACTTCCTCGACCGGATCTACGACCGGTGGGACACTGCGGCGCGCGTTGCGCGGCTGACAGGCGTAGGACCAACAGCGAAGGACGAGTCCGATGCCGTCTACGCCAACAAAGCACTGGATCTGACGATCGTGCATGCCCGCGACGACGTCGAGATCCCATGGTGGGAGGGTGCGCGAGTCTGGAAAGCAGCGATCGGAGAGACAGAGAAGGGCGAACCGTCAGAAGGGAAATTCGTCTACGAGCGTATCGCAGAGAACGGCCTGACAGAGATCCGCGTCTGGGAGAAGGAAGTCCAACCCGAGAAGGGTGCGAGGGCAGTGAAGAAAGTGAGATGGGAGAAGGTTGGATATGGAGGTACAGTACATACAAACATACATTCCATTCTTCTGATCCTTGAAGTCGAAAGAAATGCTAACGAGACCAGGACACAACCACGTCGGGGCATATTCCGTCGCCGCGCTTGCCGTGCTGAGGGCATTCGAGGAGTAACACTCAACCTCACTCGGCGGTTACTATTTATTAACATTATTTATTATCTTCTGATGATAGAATGTAAATAAATACATACATACATACATACAACTATCGAACGAACAAAGTATGTACTGTATGTACATACAGTACACAGAGAAAGAAGATAGATAGAAAAAAGAAAAGAAAAGAAAAGAAATGGACACTGGCTATATACTACAGTATAGTATAGTATAGTTTAACTTTAGTCTCACATGATAAATGAGCTACATCCCATCAGATCAGATTTTAAGACTAATATGAGTAATAGTAATAACTAGAACAACTAGAACTATATAGTAGTAGTAAATACTATACAGTACATAGTTATATGTTTCTTCCTTGCCATGGTGTTTCAAGTGCTATTTATTATGATATATCCCTTTTCTTTGTCCGTTTCGTCCCCTTTTCTCTTTCTCTTTCTCTTTCTTTGCTGGTTTATTATAAGATTCGAGATGAAAAAAGGTTCTATTTCTATTTATTTATTTACTTGGAAATAGGCATCTGCATCTGCGTCTCCATCTGCATTCGCTATCCGCATCATAACCCCGATGATGTGGCGACGCCCATTTCCATTTTCAATTCCATGCCCATGTTCATGATCAATGTCGAATTTCTGCTGTTTTGCTCGATGAGGTGAGGAGAGATGAGATGAGATGATCCAACACACAAACAAAAGAACCATCTTCCTCAGATATATTCTGTACAGGGGTTCAGAAGACAATAAAAAATAAAAATACACAACATAAACCTAACCTAACCTAACCTAACCTAGCATAACATAACCAAGATGACGATAACAGTCCCGATATAAGTAAGACAGGTTGGTGAAGGGAAGTAAGTAAGTTAGTAAGTGATATGAATATGAAGTAGGTAGGTAGATAGGTAGGAGGATGGGGAGGATGAGGATGATGGGAGGATGGCGGGAGAAGGTCATTAATGTAATCGGATGAAGGGGCGCATATCTACCTAGCGAGCGCATCGATCAGTCTTGCTGATTGATTCTTCTCTCGCTAGAGTCCCTCCGAGTGTTAGTGTAGTGTCATCATTTCTTGTGTCGCTCGGCCTGCGCCTTCTGGTACTTGGCGATGAGCTCCTTCTGCAACTGCATGGGCGCCTTCTCGTAGTGGCTGAATTCCATCGTGTACTCGCCCTTGCCCTGGGTCGCTGCGCGCAGGTGGCTGCTGAAGCCGAACATGTTGTTCAGACTGCAGTCGGCGTGGACAGTGAACTCGTCGACGCCCGTCTCGGTGTCGTTGATAGTCGCGTTGCGCTTGTTCAGCAGCGCGATCACGTCACCCTGGAACTCGATCGGGGCCGTCACCACCGTCTTCATCAGCGGCTCCAGCACCACTGGGTTGCTCTCCATGAACGCCTTGCGGAACGCCTGCTGCGTCGCGTTCTTGAACGCCATTTCCGACGAGTCGGTGACGTGCGTCGCGCCGTCGTTGATCACCATCTTCGTGCCCAGCACCCGGTGCCCGATCAACGGTCCCTTCTCGCACGCCAGGTGGAAGCCCTTCTCACAGGCAAACAGGAACTTCTCCGAAATAGCGCCGCCGACGATCTGCTCCTCGAACTTGTTCTCGTCCAGGCTGCCAGTAGGCTCCATCCACCCGGCCACACGCGCGTAGTCTCCGGGACCTCCGGTCTGCTTCTTCAGCAGGTGGTCGAACTCGACTCGGTTGCCGATCGTCTCGCGGTAGGCCACCTGGGGCTGTCCGGTCTCGCAGTCCACGCGGTACTCACGGCGCATCCGTTCCACGTAGATGTCGAGGTGCAGTTCTCCCATACCCGAAATGATGGTCTGCTCGCTTTCGGGGTCGTAAGAGACCCGGAACGTAGGGTCCTCCCGCTGGAACCGGGCAATGGCCTTGGAGAAGTTGCCCGAATCCTTGGTGTTCTTGGGCTTGATCGAGAGCGAGATGACGGGCTCGGGCACGAACATCGACGACATGGTGTATGCGAGCTGTCCGTCAGTGAACGTGTCACCCGAGGCGCAGTCGACACCGAACACGGCGCAGATTTCACCCGCGCCGATTTCCTGCACTTCCTCCATCTCGTCCGCATGCATCCGGACAATCCGCGGAACCTTGACCTTCTTGTTGGACCGCGCGTTGAAGACGTAGGCGCCCTTGCGCAGCGTTCCCTGGTAGACACGGATGTAGGTGAGCTGGCCAAAGTTGCTTTCTTCCAGCTTGAAGGCCAGACCGACGAAGGGCAGGCTGTTGTAAGGAACGAGCTTCACCGAAGCCTCTTTACGCTTCTGGTCCAGGGCCGTGTTGGTCACTTCGGACGGGTTGGGCAGGTAGTCGCAGACACCATCCAGCAAGGGCTGGATAGACTTGTTCGCCAAAGCCGACCCCATGAAGACGGGAGTGAACTTCAGAGAGATGGTCGCCCGGCGGATGGCGGCCTTGATCTGCTCCACCGTCGGCTCCTTCTCTTCCAGGAAGAGCTCCGCGATCTCGTCGTCGACGTCGGCGAGCATCTCAATAAGCATCTTCCTCCTCTCCTCCGCAATCGGCCTGACTTTTTCCGGAATCTCGTCCTTCTCAACAACCTTCTCTCCCCTAGCGCCTTCGTTGTAGATGGCCTTCATCCTGATCAGATCCACCACTCCCTCGAACTCGTCCTCTGCGCCAATGGGCACCTGGACAGCGGCAGCAGGGATCTTGAGCTTGTTGTTGATCTGCTCGATTGCCTTGAACGGGTTGGCGCCCATGCGGTCCATCTTGTTAACGAAGGAGATGCGCGGCACGTTGTACCGCTTCATCTGGCGGTCGACGGTGATGGTCTGGGACTGCACGCCCGACACGGCGCACAGGATCATGACGGCGCCATCCAGCACACGCAGCGCTCTCTCGACCTCGATGGTAAAGTCAATGTGCCCGGGGGTGTCGATCAGGTTGAAGTGGTATTTCTCCTCCTTGCCGTTCTCCTTCTTGACCCAGTCACAGAAGGTGGCCGCAGACTGGATGGTGATACCCTTTTCACGCTCCAGCTCCATCGAGTCCATCTTGGCGCCGACATTGTCGCGACCGCGCACTTCGTGGATCGCCTTGATCCGACCCGTGTAGTAGAGGACTCGCTCTGTGGCGGTAGTTTTACCGCTGTCGATATGAGCCTGAAGGAGTCAGAGCTGCTGTATATCCCTTATGGACGTGCAAATGCTTACAGCAATTCCAATGTTCCTGACCCGGGAGAGTCGTTCCCACTCCTTGGGATCGAGGTTGTCGATGATAGCCTGTTGAGAGAGCGTCTCTGGATCTGCGGCAGCGTGTTCGGCGCTGTTGACGGCCATCAGCAACAATTACAACAGCCAAGCAAAACAAAAATAATAGAAATTATCCTTACACCGCAGCGGCAGCAGAGGAATTCCTCCGTTGCTGCCATTGCCTACTCAAAGACAACAGCGGCGACCGATAGCGACACGACGCCGCACCAGTCGACAACGGCCGGAGCCCAGTAACAGCAACAGCAGCAGCCGGAGACGCAGCGGCGCATCGCAACAGATTCTGGTTCTGGGTAACAACAGCAATACGCGGCAATCGACCGGCCGCGGCAGATCTGGTCAGACCAGAGGGAGAAGAAGAAGAAGAAAGGGAACGCGCGAGCGAATAAGGCCTCATAGCTAGCGAGCTGTATTAACCCCTGTAAACTTCCCTTTCTTGTCTTTTCTTGTCCTGTCTGGTCTGCGGTTCCTAGGCGTTCCTATTTTCCTGTTCCTCTTGTCGGAGACGCCAGGAAAAAAGTTTCGGGGATAGGGACGGACGCGCTTCACGTGATTGCGTTATCTGCAGGGCAGGCACAGGGACCGGCCACTGATATCGCGTGTTTAGTAACGGAGTTCTGTCTGCGATTGCCGGGTCGGGCCGCGAGGATATCTACATTATTAGGCAGTCAGTGGGAATAATAATATGCTGGTTTTACTACAACTAGCATCGGCATACAGACAGACTGGATCAGACTCCATACATAGCAAGGTAGGTAGGTCTTTTATGCTAGATAGATAGTAATGTACAGTACAGTACAGAATAACACAAGGAGAAAACCCTCAAAAGCGGAGGAAAGGTAGGTCGATCACGCCATGCTAATGCCAATCAATGCCCAATTTCCATCTCGCAGGATGTAATATAATAAATAGTTCATATCATATTCCTCTCCTTCAACTGGCGAATCGAATCGAATCGAATCGACAATGCGATGCGATGCGGCGATCTCTCCCGTAGCGCATAAAAAAAAACAGTACTGATATTGGCCAATTCCTTTCTTGGTTTCTTTAGTATCGAAAAAATTTCCCAGCGAATCGCTTTCTTTATTTGCCTTGTCGCTGCTTATGCTTCGGGTTTTTGGAACTGTTTGATGTCAGCAATCGCAATCGTAAGTCGTCTGATTGGATATCCACGCCGCAGCACTCACCAGATAATGTACACCCTGTTCTTCCGTCGGACGGGCTGTGAGACGCGAGACAAGTCAGTTAGTCAAACTGTCCGAACAGAACTGGAGTTATGTCCAGTAGAAATCGGAGACAAATGAACGAGTTGATTTAATTTACCTTGCACCCATCACAAAGCCTCTTGACAGAAGACCGCGTCTTCATCCCTCTGATCTGCTGAGAAGACCCTGCCGCTGCAACAGCCACGCCGTTGTTACTCCGCAAGCGGGTCCACAGACTGCTGCTGCTGCTGTTGGCCCCATTTCCGACAGATGATATCGTGCCGCTCAGTCGCAAGAAGGACCGTGTGACGACGGCATTCTGCCGGAACGGAGAGGAGAGTGAGAAGAATTGGCGGATTATTGAGCCGGAGGTGAGTAGAGAGCGGATGGGTAGCATGGTGGTGATGTTGCAATCGCTCCCCCTGAAAGGGAAAGCTTCGAGAAGTTCAGCCGATTAACAAAAAAAGTCAGCTTCTGATGGAGTTCAGGATTGGTTGGGTTTTCTGTGCTGGAATGGAATAATATCTATCGAGTGACTGACTGATGAAGGCCTGCCGAAAGATCTCCGATCTCTGACTGACTCTGGATGTATGTGGAGGGTTGGTTGGTGGTCGGGGATTCTGTATCGCCGTTTTCCGACATCCGGTATCAGGCACGTGATTGGCTGAGAGTATACAATACAGATCGATGACAGCTCACCCCACAATTGCATTGTATTCAATTCACTATTCTAAGAATATCTACAGTATAGAGGATTTCCTACTGCTTGTAATAAAGTATGACTTCGCGCATTCTAACCGAACGCCAGCAAAACCCATCAACATCAACACGTCCGTATCAACAGGCTCTCCTTTCGCCTGAGCAGTAAATATACTTCTCGTAACGGTGATATCATTAGTATGAAGAATAGACAAAGAAAAATAAGAGAGAGTCGACTGGTTAATCGTCTCGAAGAAACATCTTGTACACTGGGTTATCGGTGCATTCCGTGTACGGATATCCGAGATCGTTGAGGAAGCTGTCGAGCTCGCTGTCCTCCCCGGGAGGACATTGGATGCCTGCCAACACCTGGCCGACGTCGCCGCCGTAGTTGCGGTAGTTGAAAAGAGTGATGTTGTGACTCGGGCGTAGGTTGGTCAGGAACTTTATCAGCGCGCCATGCCGTTCCGGAAACTGGAACATGAAGATGCGCTCGTCCTTGACGCCGCTGGGCCCGCCCACCAGGTACCGCGCATGCGTCTTGGCGAACTCGTCGTCGCTGAGATCGGATGCCCGCATCCCGTTCTTCTCGAGTTCCTCGAAGATCTCAGCGAGGTCCTGTCGACCCGTCGACGTGGACAGGGAGATGCTCATCAGGATATGGGCCGTGTCTTCTCGCGTGTAGCGGTAGTGGAAGGAGGTAACGGGATAGGGCCGCAGAACGTCGATGAGGGCCGCAAAGGCACCCTGCCGTTCCGGGATCGCGACACTCAGCAAGGCCTCCTTCCTTTCACCGAGTGCCGCCCGTTCGGCGACGAATCGAAGTCGGTCAAAGTCCATATTGGCCCCGGAGGTCACCGCCACCAGCTCTCGCTTCGGATTCGGGTTGGGATGGTCTGCCACATATTTCTTGAGACCTGCAAGGGCCAGGGCGCCGGCCGGTTCCAGGACGGACCTGGTGTCTTCGAAAGCGTCCTTGATGGCGGCGCAGATCTCGTCGGTGGTGACCTGGATGACGTCGTCGACGACCTCCCGGCAGATTCTGAACGTCTCCTCCCCGACAGCCTTGACGGCAGCCCCGTCCGCGAACAGGCCTACTTCCTTCAGCGTCACCCTGCGGTTCTCCTTCAGAGACTGGGCCATGGCATTGGCATCGAAGGCCTCGACACCAATGACCTTGACATGAGGCGCGATGCGCTTGATGTAGGCACCCACGCCGGCGATAAGCCCGCCACCGCCGACACAGCAGAAGACGGCCTCTAGGTGCTGCAGCTTGGCCTGACGCAGGATTTCCATCCCGATGGTCCCTTGACCCGCGATCACGTAGGGATCATCGAACGGGGGAATGCTGGTGAGGTTGTACAGCTTCTCCAGCCGGTGCGCTTCTTCCTTGGCAGCATCGAAGTCATTGCCATGCAACACAACGTTCCCGCCTAGTCGGGACACATTGAGGTGCTTGATGGCCGGGGTCCCCGCGGGCATGACGATGGTCGCGGGGATATTGAGTTTCCGAGCGGAGTATGCCACGCCTTGCGCGTGGTTGCCTGTAGGTGCATGAGTGAGGACATTCACCCAAATCGCAATTCGGACCGCCAATCTCACCAGCAGAGCATGCAATGACACCCTTCCACCGCTGCTCAGGGGGCAGATGAGCCATCTTGTTGTACGCGCCCCGCAGTTTGAAGCTAAATACGGGCTGCAAATCCTCCCGTTTCAGCAGAACTCTGCATTCTAGCCGATTGCTCAAGTTGACGGCATGTTGGAGAGGCGTCTCCTCCACGACGTCGTAGACGCGGGAGGTCAGAATGAGGCGAAGATACTACACTCCAGTCAATCATTTGCGGAAGGAAGCACGACGATCAGTCGCAAGAGGGGAACGCACATCGGGATAGCCATTGGGCAGGATAAAGTCCTCCGGAATGTCAAAGGTCGGGGGGAATGGGCGCTCTCCGGGTTCGTTGGGAGGGGTGGGATTGGCAGCGTACTCGGTCAGCGACAGCGAGCTCTCGTTGGGCTTGCGGGGAGGAGTGACGGCGCCATTGCTCGACGGGTCTTCAGTCATGGCGGCAGAACACAGGCCCGGACCAATTCAGCGATCTCAATCCGGGAATGGCGAGGTTGGGGGCGAGCAGACGGAGGCAGAGACGAACAGCAGAAAATTACGGACTGTACGGGCTTCGCGCGGGAGTCACGGACACATGGTTAGGTCAGCAACCCTAGCCGCCAGCCCTAGTTTCCTCTTTCGAACACCGCTAGCCGTGGTCTGCAATTGCTCACGTGAATCTTCTATCTCGAATGCAAAACGAGCAGAAGGCTGTTAAACCCGTAAAATTGATGCTGTAAAGCTGCTTGTTCACTGGACGAGGCTGTTCGTTGTTGAGATCGACGACAGGGTGACTGACTCAAAGACGGCGGAGTTGTGTGGAGGATGGATATTCCCCGTGGCGCATCGCCCACGAGGAAGACTGTATACAGACAGGCACGCAGTGATGTGATGGATCATATTGATATCTGGGGTTGACTTGCCATTACGCTATTCGTTTATTATTCTTGAAGTCTCGACTGCAGTAAAGGTACAGGTACAGATACAGATACAGCACGTCCTCGTGAGACTGCAGTACGAGGAATACGAAGAGACCCATGGTTGCATTACAGCCACGTTGTTGACAGTTGACAGGCTACCCACGCGACTCCATAACTCCCCGCAGCAGTTAATTAAGATACCCCGACCGATCAACAACACAATGCAGCAGAAATTAGGTTATCAATCATGGATCAAAGTTCCTCTGTCTGTACAATTTGTACCTTGCTTTAGCTTTAGTTAACCTTAATCCGCCTCGTCTCTGGCAGCGCTTTCCGAAATCATCAATCGTGAACTCCTGCCCGAACAAGCTTCTCGTATGCGACGTGACTAAGACCCCGATCACACCGGTCACGGAAGACCACATCCGCCGGGTATTTTGGAAAAATAAGCTGTCTGGGATGGCTTTTGGCCGATGCCTGACCTGGCCAGGATCCTGAGTGAGTGCAACGGGGCCATCTTCCCGGTCTTCCCCGCAATCTCAGCGCATGATTGTCCCTTTTGACCGTGGAAAAAGCAGGCAATACCCGGTCTAGACTTTTCATTCGCCTCCTGCAGATCAGGATACTGGTCACCCGGCGTGTGGATGGAAGATTTGTCACGCTGCACAGGGGGCATTCGGCAATTCAGCTGCACCCCGCAGGCCAGCAGCATCCGGGCCATTCACTGCGCCTTCGCCCCCGGATGAATTTGCTGGGATCTGGGGATTCCCCGCGCCTCGACGCTGAAATGGCACACCGCAGGATCGTCTAGTGTGGCATCGTAGCATCCGAACCCCTGACACCATCCTGCTCGTCTGATCGGCATCTCCAGACAGGCACCTCCGCCAGCTTTATCTTGGATGATCTTCCCCAGATTTTCTCTCCTCCACAGCAAACCATCCTGGAGAGCAAGCCGTCATGCTACCGACACTCCGCGGCCGGTTCTCGTCTCTGTGCTGGTGATGCCCTTTATTTAAGTTCTCGCGCTGCTGCCTCTGCGTCGTGTTCTCATGAACGAGTCCCTGCTGCATGCTGAGCCCGAATTCCCTCCGCACGATGCGGCTGCGCTGTCTGCTGCTGCCGCCGTGTCGGGCTCCGACAGCACCGGCGAGATGAGTCGTGCCAGCAAGCAGGATGCGCCGCCCTCGCGAAGGCGTCCAGCGCCCCGGGGCACCGCCGCCTATCCTCGCAAGCGTGCCAACAAGGCCTGCCAGGTGTGTCGTGCGCGCAGGACCAAGTGCGACAACAAGAAGCCCTCGTGCTCGTTCTGTGAGAAAGTCGGTGCCAAGTGCATCACCACGCCCACCGATCTGTCGTCGTACGTCCGTCCTGCCAGACAGACCCTGTGACTGGCTCGCTGCTGATCCGCGTACAGGTTCGATCCCGCCAGTCTGGCCATTCTGGAGCGCCTGGAGCAGCTGGAGCAGCTGATCCGCGAGAAATCGATTGAATCGAGTCGGTCACAGCCACAGCCGCCGCCGCCGCCGCCCGTGGAGGAGGAGTTTACGCTGGGATACGGATCCCCGGCGCCAGACCTGCAGTTCGGTCCCGATTTCAGCACCGTCACCATCGAAACGGTGCTCTCGTGGCATGTGTTCCGCGGGAGATTCGACTCGCACTTGGATTTGAAAGCGCTTCTGAAGGATACGGAGGAGCCCATGTCTCCGCTGCACTCGCCCGTCGGCGAGACCATTCCGCTGATCAACAGTCTCGAACTGGGGTCCTGCAACCGGCTGCTCGACAGCTTCCTGACGCGAGTGCACATTGCCAATCCGATCCTGGACGTTCCCCTCGTTCGGAGCTATGTGCATCATGCATGCCTGCATGGGATTGGGTGGGATGCGCAGTCGTGTTTGGTGGTGCGTCTGACGCCTCATCCCCCATGAAGTGACTGAATTGCCTGCTGATGGTGTCTTTCGACTAGCTTCTCGTATGTGCATTAGGGTCGATCGCTGAAGCCTTCCACGACAAGCATGAATCCACGTCCATCGTCGCCCGGAGCTCCCCAAGCTTTGCGCTGGCACGGGCATTCTTCGAGGCGTCCCAGAAGCGCATTGGACTGCTGCTGCGTGGCGGCGGCGTCCTTGAGGCGCAATGTTTCTTCTACTCGGGCGTCTACCTGATGACGATCATGCAGCCGATGGATGCATGGCGACATTTTGTCCAGGCGGCGGCCATCTCGCAGGGATTCGACTTTCCGAGGAAGCCGTTGAGTCCGGAAATCATGGCCAGCCCGGAAGCGAAACGGGAACGAGCGTCTCAGGAGAGCATGTATTGGACGTGCTTCAAGTCGGAGCTGTGAGTCTACCTTTTTCCTTCTTTAGGTTTGTCGTTCTTCTACAGATCTCTTCTGACTCTACGCAGCGAAGTTCGTATGGAACTGTCGTTGCCAGGCTTCGGCCTGCAGGATCTCTCCTACCCAAGCTCCTTCCCCAGTCCTCCTTCCGATACTCTGGAGCAAGACTCGGCGCGGGCGTGGTATTACTATCTCGCAGAGATTGCTCTACGCCGCCTGGCCAACCGGATCCTGTACCATCTCTTCCGGCACCAGGAGAAGGGGCGATTTCCCCGGATCAGCGACATGGTGGAATCGACGGCAGCCTTTGAAGCGCAGGCGGCTGATTGGTAGGTCGCCAACTAATCTTCTTCCATTGACGGGTTTCTGACAGTTTACGAACTACAGGATGGCCTCCCTTCCACCCATGTTCTCTCTCGAAACGCCGGAGGAAGAGGACGACGTGCTGAAATTCGTCCTGCGCGGGCATCTCCTCGACTGCTACGAATGGATGTACTTCCCCTTCATGGCGGAGACGATCAACTACGGCCGCCAGGGCGCCGTGATCGACGAGTACTGCCGGAAGGGCCTGCAGATGTGCGTCGAGCGCATCCGCAAGAACAAGCCGGGCTTCCAGCACCGGCACCACGGCGCCTGGCTGATGCTGCGCACCTGCACGCGCAGCGCGCTGATCCTCCTCGCGGCATGTCACAGCCAGACGGTGCAGGACCTTATCCCGGAGGGGTGGAAGGACGCTGTGCTCAGCGCGATGGGTATGCTGCGGTTCTGGGAGGACGAGGTGGGCGACGCGCGGGATCGACTGCAGATTTTGACGATGTTGATGACGGAGTTGGGGTGGTAAAAAAGAGAAATGGATGGGAATACGCACAAAACAACAAAAGTGGTTTTACGGGGTCTGAGTGAATTTTGTCTTGTGTCGTGTCGTGTCTTCGAAAGGGTATCCCATTTCGGGCTGGAATCTATTCAACAAGGTGCATTTGTTTTTTTGCTATCTACTAATATCATCTGCCTTGCTGGTCAGGTCAGAAATTCTTCCTTTCTTCAGCTGCCTTTTTCATTTCATTTCATTTCACTTCATTTCACTTCTCTTTTGCCTTCTTTCTTTTCCATGTTGCAGACCATCAAAGTGTTGTACCTTTGTCACACTTTTGACCGAGTCTGCAACATTTTCTTCTCTTCTTTGATTTTCTTCTCATCTTCTTTTCATTTTCTTGTTTTCTTTTCTACCTCTGAGCGAAACAATTGAGGAGTATGAAGTATGTAGATACATACGCATACGCATACGCAGTCTTGGATAATGGATTCTACTTGGATGCAGCAGCTCTTCAATTATTTGTCTTTCTTCTGCAGCAGCAGGTATTATTTTCTTTCTTCTCTGATGAAGATAAAAGAATAAGAACTTAAATACTTGCTAACGGATAAAGTTATATTTTCGGTTTCTGGAATTTTTTTAAAAAATATTTTTTAAAAAATGTAAATTCAAAATTATGTAAATGACATTTTTCTATAATTTTTTTGTTTTCTTTTTTCTCAGAATATATACACAATAAAATAAATGAGTCAATATTTAATTAAAGTAAATAAGTTCCTTAGGTATTTTTGCATTCCTAGTCCACTCCCGACGTCATGCCATCCATCCTGCCGGCCCTTACCGCCTGCCCGCGCGTCAGTTTTGCGTTGCGGCAGACGCAGCCAAGTCCGCGTGCGAAGCAATTAAATCTCCCACTCAATACCAACGATACAGCAATACAACAACAACCAGTTCAGCTTTCTTAATAATTTTTTCTTTTTCATACCGCCCTTTCTCTCCAGTAAAGACTATACCGGTTGGCGTCCGTCCGTCCTCCTCTGGAAGGTGGAATTCGAATTCGTTTCCTGTCCGTTCGTTCCGGCGGAGCTCCGAGAGTCCGAGTAGCAAGCATAGCAGCAAAGCGGAGAGGCTCTAGAGCTAGGTACGAACGAACGAACGAACGAACGAACCGACTGGTATACCTGCCTTCTTCGCTCGGATTGAGACGGATACACTGGACTCATACGCTTCTGCAGTGTGGATTGTTGTCTGCGGTCGTTTCGCATAATTCGTTCGACTCGACGATATTCTGATTCTGAGCTCCTGCGCAACCATGTCCGACAAACCACTTCCCACCTCCTTGGAGGTGGATTCTATGTATGTGATAATTGCCAGGCTGCAGGCTGCAGGCGATTGATAGCGAAATGTGCTGATCTTTTGCTTCCTGCAGGGAATTCACCGAGGAGACGAGCTTACAGAAATTCAAGCGCCGGCTGAAGGAGGAGCCTCTGATTCCGCTGGGTAGGCATAAATCACCCTGCTCACCTACCTCTGTCCAGCAAGAGAAGGCATCTGACATCTGACTAACTGTACATGCCACAGGATGCGCCGCCACCTGCTACGCGTTGTACCGCGCCTACCGCTCCATGAAAGCCAAGGACTCGGTCGAGATGAACCGCATGTTCCGCGCGCGCATATACGCGCAATTCTTCACGCTGCTCGCCGTCGTCGCCGGCGGCATGTACTACAAGACGGAGCGCCAGCAGCGGCGCGAGTTTGAGCGGATGCTCGAGGAGCGCAAGAACCAGGAGAAGCGCGAAGCCTGGCTGCGGGAGCTGGAGATTCGGGATAAAGAGGATAAAGGGTGGCGCGAGAGACATGCTGCCATTGAGCAGGCGGCCAGAGAGGCGGCTGAAAAGGCTGCTAGTAGTGCCAAGGGTGTTGGACTGCGTCAGTCGCAGGCGCAGGCGCAGCAGCAACAAGAACAGTCTACGTCCGCGGACGAGAATCAGAACCAACCTGCGACGGAACCGGCGGAGGAGAAGAGAGGAGGGGGGATTCTCGATGCTGTGAAGGCGCTGGTTGGGAGGAAGTAGGCAGCAGCAGCGGTAGCTGCGAGGAATAAGTATTGTGTTGTGTCGATTGTTGGCAGATATATACACGCGCAAGTGTGTATTATCAGCTAGTGCTTTTATTGCACCTTGTACTGTATATATTTTCTTCGTTTTCTTTTTATTTGTATGACGGGGTAGGCGGACAGAATCAGAGAAATTCCACTTTCAAGGTCTATCTATGAATAACACATGGTTAAAAAAAAGAGAGAGAGAGATAACACCATCAACATGCATATCCATATCCACGGAAACCAATAAATAAAAAATGAAAATAAAAATAAGACAGGCCAATAAAATACAGTACTGTACAAAAGTGAATCAAACAGCTAGCTGTCTTTCGCATCAACAACTCAATTCATCAAACTTGCTGACACATGCAGTTATATGCACATCTTCAGTTTCACCGACTAACAACCTGCTCATCGATATACCTCTTCATCGTATCAAACTCGGACTTGCCGGACTGGTAGAAGGCAGAAAATAAGTAAGTAATTAGCAGAAAACAAAACCAACGAAAAAAAAGTCAGAGAAACCGAGATTGTAGACTGGACATGGCTTGTGTGACTACTTACGGAGATTAAATACCGGATATGCATCTAGCAAGCAAGCAAATATTATAATAATCATCGTCAGCTTCAACTCATCCAGATAACAATCTATAGATTCCACAGAATATGATGATGATGATGCAAACTCACAATATCCTCAACATGCCGATTCCGCTCAAACTCCTGCCGCGCATAAGCCCGGAGTTCGTCGCGCGTGGAGGACGGTGGGATCTCTACACACACACAATCAGTAATCAAAGACATTGCAAAAAGAGAAATCAGGGTAAATGAGGGGTTTATACGCACTGTTCACGGTACGGATAATATCCCGCCATAAGCTGAGGACGCGTTGGCGTTGGATGAACTGGAATGAAAGTAGTTAGTTAGTTAGTTAGTTTATGTTTGGAATACCGTACAGTGTAGATATAGAAGGGAAGGGAAGGTGCTCCGTGGATTGTATCCATGTAGGTATACATACCCGATCAAGAGTCAAAACGGGCTTTTTTAGCTTGGACTTTGATGTCGATGTCGATGATGACGGTGAATCTGATGATGATGAATCTGAGGAAGATGACGAGGATGATGTGGATGATGAGGATGAAGAGGACGATGATGCTGACGACGACGCAATATAACTCGTATGCGACACAGCTGCGAAGAGGCGCGGTGATGGTCTGATAAGTGCATGCATATGCATCGTGTAGAGGAAATGTATATAGTACAGATGTATGATGTATGTTAATTACAATCCGATGGATTCATGCACTTGCGGAATTCGAAATGTGAAGATGAGACGGGATAGAACAGAACAGAATAGTTTAATATGCAGAAATATAGGTATGTGTGGAATTGCTTTCTTCAGAAAGAAAGAAAAAAATAAATAATGGCCTGATTGATATAGTACGGGTTCCAGTATACAAAAGTGATGCTTTCGGACTAAGTAGTAGTTATATGATGCCGATGATGATATCGGCAGAATTTATCAAGGCGGTGAGAATGGCGGTCATTGCTGACTGCAAATTGTTCTGCATGGAATGCAAATATTGCGAAAAAAATGAATTTGAAAGAGGGAATTGCAAATTTTAGTTTCCTTGTACAGTAACTAGTCCGTATGTATGTCATATGGATCCATATATCTAGCTAATATGCTGTCATGGACTGGAATAATAGAGTACACAGAGAGCTAGATAGAATCTAAAGTGTCTTAAAAGATATCACTCCTTAATTATTTTTTTCTCCCTAAAGGGGTTGGTTGATGTTGCAGATTCGCTAGTAAGACACGATTATCTTGAACATTCTCTCTCTCTCTCTTTCTTTTTTTTTGCACAGTCTGCAACATTGTTTCATCTCTATTATATACATCTTTCTAATCTGTCCTAGAATATCCGTGGCATCGTGAATTGGGACCGATGATAATGCTGATGTTACGGGACCTGGATGAGTTGCACCTTGCTCTTTCTTTTCGATCCAGTGTGAATATCCAAACGGTGAACTATTTCTGGGAGAATTACCGAAGACATCCCAGAGCATTCTGGGAAGCAATCCAAGTACGTATCCTATGCTCCAGCTGCAACTTGTTATGAGCATGTGCGAATGGCCTTCTCTCCTCGGAGCATCTTTTACTTGACGAGGTATAATGTCCCTTACTAAGGTCATCGATCCTGGATACTATCTCCAGGACGAGACTGTAGTGATTGTCATCCTGGAGCATTCCTGGTGGAGCGCCTCCCCAAGCGACGTGGCAGGTAAATACATCGACTCAGGCCATATCTACTAGTAATACGGAGTTCAAGTCGGGCCACAGCAGGTCACCGAGATGTTAGGTCTTACGGGATCACTGTTCTCTATTCCAATGCACGGGTCCAGGGTCTTCCTGACTCTATAGTATATGTCCGTGCTAAGAATCAGAAAAAGGACGACGAATTTGTTACGAAGTCAACAGAATGTTTGAAGGTAATTTTATGGCCTAATAAGAACGCAGGATAAAAATATTGTTGTGAACTTTAAGTACATGATTTAGCAATATATTTACCATACCAAATGGTACATACATCAAACCCAGGGCACCCACATACAGATGTAAAAGTAAACATGTTAAAGAGAATACAAGGAAGGAAAAGTTATACAGTGGGCGACTCGCGCAGCACCTGCATGCTAGCCAGCTACGCATGACGGCCGTAGCGTCTGTCCATCGTAGACTCTGTGATTGAGCCACTCAGAAAAGGCAGGTCGAAATCTCCGTTGTTCAGTGAGATTGATCGTCGGGTGCTTCATTCGCTCAAGTCGAACCATGAAAGACGTCTCGAGTTGAAGCGAGAACTCTTTGTAATTTGGGCCCTCTCTCGCACTTATTACCACTGTTTGGCGTAACTGGTTCGCGTCCCCGAATATTACAAGCCTCTGAATTTTCTCACCGAACGTCAACTTGGTCAGTGGAATCTTCAGGATATGGAGGCTTGCCACTCTATCCGAAGGCTATTAGCTGGCGAATCGCTAGGGAATCATTAAAGGGAAACTTACGGCTTCGCGAATGGCGTTGACAAGCCGGAAGATGTTCCGATCGATCGACTCGAGCCGCCGTGCCAGCCACGAGTCACCGGACGGAAAAAGAAGCGTCGCCTGCGCGTCGCTGGCGTCCAGTCTTCTCTGTTGAGCTTTTACGCCCATATGCCTCCACCGACATATTCCATCGCGGGGGCCTTTGCAGCCTGTCGCGAAACTTTAGAGAGGTGAGACTCTCTAAGCAATTGACCTCAGTTTCTTTTGGGTCTTCATCTCGGAAGATGATAATACCCTTCGCGCTTTCTCCAATTCCTTGGGAGCTGCTTGGTCGTAAGCGCAAGCACCCCTGGATATTTTCGGAGCCTGGCCGCGTCCTCTTCGTTTGTCCAAGACATTTTTCAAAGCAAATTCGATAGAAAGCGTCTGTAATGTTGAGATTGTAGGAATGTATTCATATCCCATACTTTACGCTGTGTCGGTTGATCTCAACTAGAGTTCCGACGCTGGGTGCACTTCATGAATTTTGTTGAACTTGCTCGCTCTCTTCAACGTCATTTAAGAAACGTCTACCGTTCTCTGTGGGTACACGTCTGATATAGGAGTATATGCTCTTCATATATAATAATAAGAGCGCTTATCACTTTTGGCGTTTCGCTTCAGACTCCACGACTGTTGTTGTTCCAACCAACAACTCCGCCACGGCCTGTAAGTGCGCGTGGTAGCACGACTTCTTGCAAATACTGGCCGAGCAGGACTCCACGAATCCAGGTAGGACCTGGCGAACTCTAGCAGGTAGCGAATTCTAATGCTTTCCTGCGCTGTAGCCAGTCCATTGGGTGAACCTCCGGAAGCAGAAGAGATAAATTTCTCTTTGGGAGCCCGGGTATCATCATTGCTAGCACTGCCTCGTCGAGACTGCATCTTGACTGCTGGCCAGCAGGGATAAGAGTGGCATGGCGACATCTTCAGACGTTTCGTACCCAACGTCTTCCATCACCGCGTCGCTAGGGAACTCACGTTTGATGTGCACGGACGATGCCAGGGACTCTCTCATGTCCATGACGAAGGGTCTGCCGAGACCCCAGTCCGTGGCATCGTCCGTGATGTCGAACTGATCCAGCTCGATGGCATGTAAGGACTTATACCAGGCATCCTCTGACCGGCCTATTTCGCAGACGTCGACAACACAACCGTAAGACATGGTGGGTGAGTAATGACCGGTCCGGCATGAAAGTAGTTTAAGGAAGGTTGCCACGGTGCGAGCTTTTGCATGCATTAAATAACAATAGTTTAAAAAAAAGAAAAGAAAAGAAAAAAAAAGAAAAAAAAAAAAGAAGAGGACATACTTTAATAATGCTAGGAATGGATAAGTCTCTGCCCAATTTCCGAATTTCTTTCCCTCTATCTTGACGCGCCCGGATATCAGGAGAGTTTTTCAAGCTCCAGCCGGTAAGTTTTAAGAGATCTCCATCAACTATACGGAAACGTGCCCGTTGAAGGACATACTTCCATGTCCCTGTCATTATATTGGGCTTCGTTATCGAAAGGATCAACTCCGGGGATAGAGGCTTTGCCATTGCTCACTCCATTGAGGGGTCCGACAAGTTCACGCGTATAGAGAATGCAGTCTTCACGTTTTTCACGTTCCAGTGAAAGCTGCTTCCAGTGGTAATGTGCTCCAGATATACAGGAGTGAATTATCGGCGAGTAGGTTAGGGCCGAGTTTCCGTTTTCTGCAGCCGACGCGGTTCCTTTCATCTTGCGGAAACGGAGCTGTTTGTTCCTCTGGTCTTCGAAAAGTTCCAAGACGTAGGAGCTTCTTTTGACTGGTAAGGCGTATTGGCTGTTCCTGTCCTGATCGCGACACTTGTAGAAGTTGACGTGTTATCCAACTGCCACTGCCCCGTATACATTGTCGGTGCCGTGGATAACAACAGCAAGATAGTGGCGCAGTTGGTTTGCCCCGGTCTGCCAAATATATGGGCGGGTACATGTATTCATGGCCGACTTTCATGCTCGTCAGGCATCTCTGGAACGGTGCAAACTGGGCAAGGAATGTTCCAGCTCCGGGAGAATACAGGTCCAAGCTGTAACGGCCTGGGTTAAACTCGGCAGAAGACTTGTAGTCTGGCAGCGACACTCGAAGAAGCAGGTACTGTTCCTTGCTGAGGTCCGCTAGTCAGACTGATTGCTTCTTTCACTTGAATCAAGAAGGGTTGAAGGTTAGAGCCGATAACATACGCTTGGATAACACGGTCGTTTGCACTCTTAGAAAATTCTTGGCGCTTTGCTTGGGAGATAATTCATCAGAAACCGCATAGTAGGATCACGCTATCCGTTCGTACAGCCAGACAAACGGTGGTTTCCAATTACCAGGTCGAGATTCAAAGGAGAAGTTGGATGTCGATCCCTGTTGAGTGGATTCCCCCAAGGCCAGTGGAGCGGGTCTGACCTTTGGAAATGCATGTATGCTCTCAATGTCTTTCTCAGATATGCGCTTTGATCGATCACAAAGAGCAACGGCGGACCATTTGAGAGCACCAGCAGCGGACACCACAAGTGAGGTGTTAGTGTGAAACGGGTTATCGATTGTGAGACCAGTTCTTTTGTCTCTTCGTAGGCAATAGGACTTCGACTAGGAGATATGATCGCGTATAAACCTGGTGGTGGTTTCTGTCCATGTTTGAACCATTGGAAAACCCCTCTTCAGTGACTCTCGCTCTTCCTTTGCCTTTATCTGGACAACTTGCTGACTATGATGGCGATTTCTTCTCGGGACCGGCCCCCACACAGGTTCGAGCTTTGAGTTTCTCAGGACCTCTCTCGGCGCGACCTGGATATCGCCAGTCTGGGTTATACCAAAACACGATATTCTTCAACACGTCAGTCATTTGGCTTGCCACATATCTCATGCGCAGAGTATCTAAGGCCCAGGATCATGGATCTTGTATATGTCTGAAGACAGCAAATTTGGCATCCATATGCTTTGCATTTGATGATGAGACTGTGTGACGAAGACAAATGTGGCTCTCAGGAAGCTTACCGGCTAGGCCAGGGCAGGATATGTCCACAGAAGGATGCCCAAGCTCTCACCGCGAAACGACACGGTGGCGGAGTGGGAGCGGAGGCGAGGAGACTTGCCGGGGTCGCAGCAGGCGTCGCCGACTTCAACTCTAGTACGTCTTTCTTGTGGTCCGCAGAGCTCCTTCCATCGACTCAAATCCATATCCTTTGCAATGATGCCTCGATTGAAATTTATGAGTGACTAACTTCCCCACTTCGATAACTAACGGCTGTCTGTCCCTGCAATTAGGGCTAGTCGGCGCTACGGTCGAAGACGCTTTTGATATCGTCTTCGCTGGGATGGCCATGAGCGTGCTGGGAGTCCTGCGCAGTCGAATTCCCTTTTTTTTTATGTTGAACGGCGGCGCTGACTGGATAAGAGAGCTTGCTGAGCATTCGTCTCCCTCTGATGGTACAAGAATGTCACCGATAGCATGGATGGGAGTGACTGAAAAACGAGGATTTCGTCGCTCTCTGTCTGGCTCCTTAGATGAATGGAAAAGTACCCAACCACGACGACTGGATATATCGTCTGGCACTTTTGTAGTAGCGTATCTGAGGCTTTTCTACCGGGGGCGCGTGAACAAGGTTGTCGACGTGTAGCTCCGAAGCGGAGATACCCTAAGGTATGGGTGGGTGAGACTAAGATCCACTGCTACTGTGTGGAATCGTTCCTCCTTAGTCAAGGTTTGTTGCTCCCATGAAGTATTCCAGCTTGTAAGTGCCCCGACAACCTCATCCTCATTGTGCATTTCTGCCACCTTTGTCCTCCAGTGCTGATTGAAGCATGTATGTACATACTGTACATGCACTCAGCCAAGCAATCCAACGTGCAGTACGTTTAACATTTGCCAAATGCTCGCGTTTGTACGTCCAAGGGAGCTTGACCATCGTTTCGAATTCCCAGTGAAGCGATTTGTATGAAGCTATTGTATCAGCAGAGGCGCGGTTGGTAGGTTGCCCGAACTCTTCCCTATTCTTGATTGCGAGGATTATCAAGAGGATCGCGTCAAGTCGTGACCGAATCAGTGCTTCATTTTATCAGCACCATCAACCGCAAGCTCATGGTCTGCCGGAATAGATTCTATATAACTTAGTCAGCAACAGCACAGGTTCATATTAACTAAGACTTTAACCTCACTCAGTTTCGGCACCAAGAGCATCGTACAGGGATACAGACGTGTTCGATAACTTTGCCAGGAGACTAGAACAACAACACATTCCTGGTCTGTCTCACTCTCCAAAATAGCACAATTCCTCACTTTCTATTTATATGTTGAATGTCTGCAAGCCGTTGTGGGCCTTTGTCTTGGACCTTCCTAGGTGCTGCAGGACCCGAGGTAAGAACAGGCCCAGGCTCCTTGGTTTGAGTTGCATGAGTGTGTCTGTGGAGGAAGCCAATACTCTTGGTCCCAGTCAGGTCCAGTATCGCGACCTCACATTCTCCGCCCTGGAAACCGTTGATCTTCTGAACCAGAACATCGCCGACACTGCTGGTACGGTGCACTATTTTCAGGTCATCCATGGCCGCCTGCAGATAACGGTACTACACATCATACTCAGTCAAGGATGAGTAGTAGATGCTCGCCGCGGATGATCCCCCTGACCATCAGCGCCTTCTCCAGCCCAATGATCACTGTCACATGCTTCTGGCTGATCAGTGAAGGACTACTAGATTCCCGTTCAGCCCAACTCCGGGGACATCGACCAGGAGGAGGGGCTGGTTGTTTCGGAAGAAGCGTCCATTGAAGCGCATGATGCTCCCAGTGATCGCGTTTGGGCAGACGACCGTCATGGAAGATCTTGTTATGCGCAATCGACTTGATTTGTCTGACCGGGCAAGAATAGAGCACCTCAAGAATGAGCTCGAATCATGACCATTTCAAGAATGTTATGTTGAAGCAATTGTATTTTTTTGTCCATCTTGTCGAGATCTGGTAAAGACAAGAATTGGATGAACTCCCTTTTCCAAACAATGTGGTAATGTAAGGGTATCATGGTCACTGCGTCTGGGCCGCGGCCAACGTCTAACTCTGCCCAGAACCCATGAAGTTACAGGGGTCCAAACGGGTGATGGGATGCTGATCGCTGCTCGAGTGATGAAAAAGAGAGGAGCCGGGACATTAATGTCTTCGGTGATGTCACAGCTCAAGACAGCGCCTGTGAAGAGCACGAGTCTCTGCAGTGTGGGTAGCAGCGCAGAGACAAGCCGCGGACCCCTGTCTTCCCAGACATGTCTGTATTCCTTAGACGCAAGTGCTGAGAGACCGGAGTCCATGCGGTTTGCATTGACGTTTCGAAGATCGTATGCTCTATTATGAGCATTGCCATCCAGTTTCAGTGAAACAAATCCTCCAGGGGTTCCGCCTTCCTCTTCCCCGACTTCGCCAATGCTGCAACCCATCTTCGGGAGTTACCATGTGAAAATGATTAAATAATTCTCTGTTCTGAGGCGGCATGAACTCGACATTGATAGATGGCCTTTCCAAGACGCCATCGCTTTGCCCTTCCAATTGTGACCCAACTGAGAATGGCATTCCAGATCCCAGTTACACTTCCCTCAGTATCTTTGCTGGTCAAGCGGTCAAGGGCGATCTTGATTCCAGAGACGCCGTAGTACTGTTTCCAAATCAGATTCATCAATTCAGGAGGAAAAAAAAAGGCGCCAGATATTCTCACGGTGTTTCTGTTGTTCTGCTGAATTGGGCGTCCCTGGGCCCTGATGACTTTGATATCACAATGCATGATTCCTCTGCAAGACAATCATGCCACGATGAATCGCCTCCTTGTCGATCACTGGATTTGACCTGTCGTTGTAGAAGCTGTTTCTACTCCTGACTTGGGTACGGTTGCCGTATTGTTCCGGAAGAAGAGTGAAGACAGTAATCTCGCGATAGAAACGATATCGCCGGCGTGTAAGCTTGGCGAGCAAATGGTGCTCTCTTGGGACGTAGGACCGGAAATTGCGCAATGACCGTCTCTGCCCACAATGAAAGGGCTCTGCTGCTGGTGTATATCGACGTCAGAAGAAAATATAAAAGCCAATCATTTGCGAAATCACACTACCTGTTGATTTATCGATAGTTTCGCACCAGATCTTGAAAGCCCTGGAGCTAGACATGTGTAAGAGCTCTCCCAATTAGAGTGAACTGGAGCGTCTTCCACGGCGAAATAACAGGTTTCTGACGCCATCGACAAGCGAACAGGAATTCTCCGGACGGTCGACTTTGGGATCTCTGCGAAGCAAATATTTTCGAGCCGGACGCGTTTGTGATGTCCCGATCAAATGTGCCGTGCCACCGCTCAAAGAGCGGCTGAACCTTTCTTCTTCTTCATTCGGATTCGAATCGGCATGTCGTGATCGAATTCAGTTCGAGCGTGAGGATTTTCATGGGCTCTGGTAAGATGTTCGGGGGACTCGTTGTCAAAAGAGCCCTGAGCCTCGATCGAAAAGCCACATCCAGCTTTGGGCGATGGGGCTTTTCGCGTTGAATAACACTTGGTTATCCCGGTATCCAGAGTCTGACGAGATGATGTGCTTCTTTCCAAAACAAGGGATCAAGCAAGTCGATCAGTGTCGATGGCACACGAAACCACGAATTTCTTCAGTCGACCATTGAAAGACCCGGACCCTGAGGCCTTCGTGAACTGGCAGTCAACTTCCTCCAGATCAAACTAGATTGTACAGCGCCACCACGTCATAATTTGCCCTGTAGACGGGAGTCAAGGCTGCTAGCGATGCTCAAAGATGTTCTTAGAGGCGTTATTGTCTCTGGTAGCTTGCGTGAACTTGTAATCGCCTACCAAACGAGGCAGTGCAGGATACCAGTTGACTTGGGTAATGTACATACAGTACAATCAGATGTGCCCAGTTGTCAGTAAACCATCCAGTTCAATGTTGTTTTTGTCCTCGACCTCTTGGAGGAACCAGGTCAAAGAATACAATAAGAAGTCCATTTTTGGGGTGTCTGCATGGCAGTGCTCTTCGACGCAGTGTCAATTTCTGATAGCAGATGACATCTTGTCACATAAGCGTCGGAATTGTGGCTCAACAACGTGAACAACTCTTGTCGCAGCCGTACACTGATCCTTCGTACAGTTCCCGTAATTGTGAAGGAAAGCTCGTCTCAAAGCCGCGAGTTGGGAGTTCTGTACTCGTGATTCAATAAAACTCCATGCCAACGGCTTTGCTTATCAGAGCACAACTCATTGATGGCATTAATCTGAGCCTTAACGTTCTTCTTCGAGTCTTTGAATTTCAAAGTGCAGGTGAACTTTCTGAACTTTGGCGCCCTGCGCCTGGAGAAAAAATCCACGCATTGGCCGATTTCCGAGTGCCGATTTCCAGTTATTGCCAGAATGAGATTGCATGGTACTGGCAATTTGAAGACATTGGGAAAGACTATGCCTTCGCACTTCATAGGCCCTTGGACGCCTTTGAGGGAACACTCAACGGTACCATGTGTGCCCTCAGGAATGATAGCTGCGATGCCGGTCATTGGAGAGGCAACAAGGCGTGGACGGGGTTGTAGGTATGTATAACGTCATACTGTCAACAGGGCATCAACAGAAACTTGAAGGAACAAAAGACGCTCTTCGCTCTTAACTTCCTTTGGCCAGTCGGCAAACGGAGAGGAGTGACAGAGACCACAAAGTCTAGAAGGAGGTGAAGAACAGACGACCATGTCGACAGTCGCTATCGTCCGGTGGACAGAGCCCTAAAACCAAATTCCAGAACGAGTGCTATCCTGCCGAAGAAAAAGCACTACTTCAGCCACCATCGACCACAGTAGTCCTCAGTCCAACCGGCCGATAAGAATTCAGCTGCCGTCAGAGACCCTGCTGTAAGCAAGTCGATCATCGCATTCTTGATCCACTGTTGATGGCAATCATGGATTTCGGTCGGCATTATTCGGACCCAAAATGTCCGTTGTCTTGGAGTTGTAATGCACTCTGACGACAGAAAGGAAAGCTATTAGTATAATCCCATTATTGAAAGACCACACAGGATACGTGACTTACCGTGGGTGAATTGTCGGCATCGGCGGCGTCCTCCCATTCATTGTTGGCGGCATTTGTCACGGGTGCCACGTAAATATGGCAATGCCATGGAAAGAACGAGATCAAAATGAGTTTGTTGCTTTGTTAACATTCCGGGGCTGTTTGTCAGGATTTCTTTCATCAGTCGTAGAGCCCATGTAGCACGAGCGAAGTGACCTTGGCTTCCAAGCAATGGACCGTCCATGATGCTCATCAGGATAACACGAGATGGAACGGTACTAAGGTCGCTTTGGCTGCTGAAAAACCCACATCATCGACAATGTAGAAGTAGAGCAACGGAAACAGCCGGTAACCTAACGAGGACCCGGAAGTAGATTTCCCAGTCTTTTCCGTTCAGCAGTCCAAACGATTGGCGGTTTCCAAATGGGATCTTTCTTTGTAGGAATCTGTTCTATATGCATGGCGTCGAAGAGGCTGTCACATACGGACAGGGCGATAAGAGAAAGACCCAATGAGAAGGGTAGTATGTGGGCGCATTCGGTCTGTCTTCTCAGATTCCTTCCCGATGATTCGATGTGCGTCTGTCTGGTATCTGCTTTTATGCATGCTTTCTGAGCATGTCTTAGCCATTTCGAGAGACTGCTCCGGTAAATTCTGGCTGTGTTTCAGCGGCTGACGGTCAGGTTGAAGCGTCATCCCGGCACATCCATGGGGAGATCAATCTCTATATCGGCATCTGAGTACATGAAATAACAACCCTATAAACGAGAGGGACTAATCCTCTACCTGAGGGGCGACTAATAAGTGGGCCAAGCACATCAGTGCGAGCAGGCGGTAGCGGGAGAGGCACAAAAAAGCTCGCTCGCCGATGAGGAGGCCAAGGATATAAGAAGATAGAGTAGACTCCAAGAGATAGGAAGACAATCTCGTAATAGGTGGTTGACCTAGGAAAAGTTGCCACTTTCGGGACGAAGGCTGTAGTATATAATACCGTGGCATATTAAACGTTAGGGGCACCTGGTGACAAAGCCTTTATATATATATATCCTAAGAATAAACGGGTATATGTAAGAGAGATGATTCTCAAAACTCGAGTGTGGAAGGAAGCGGAGCAAACAGCAAAGAAAAAGAAGAAAGAAGAAGAGAGCCGGAGGGAGTTGGGGGTACTTATTTATGCCTTTCGTCCACAGCTCGCTTAGGGCTGTGACACTGTGAATGGCTCCAAAGACCGGAGATTTACTTGAGTCCATGGTTTCTCGCTTATTAAGCGAATGATATCTTATCTCGTTTTGCAGTGAATGAATCATAATTCGCTCCGCCAGTCATAGTAGCCATAGTATAGTATTCACTGTGCATCGGGTCTGGAAGAACCGGGAATGGGCGGGAGGTAATAGGGGGTTATATTCACGGCGTCTTCCGAGAAAGGTCGAAGATACCTATCGGAGTGACTCTGTCACAGTCCCTCTGTTTTGTAGGAGAAAGCCTGCAGATCATGGATCATGCCTGATGCTGAAGTTGGTAATTGATCGAGAAGACCGCTGAGTCTGACATGGTATGTATGCAACTCTGCTAAAGCTTCAGGAAATATAATACTGAAGAAGTAGGAACGGAAAAAAAGAATCACAGATCCCTGGCCCCTCTCAAAGTTCAGGATACAAGCCAGAGTACTAATAGAGAAAAAAGAAGAAGAAGAAACATCATAATTTAGAAAGAGAAGAAGAGAAGAGAAAGAAAAAAGTTCCGGACGGCACCTAGGTAGGTTTCTATACCCGACGGAAAGAGCCGTTTCGTTGTTTACTCCCGTTCTTTGTCTGCATGTACGGGAGTACAGTACATGGATATGATTGCCGAAGGGCCTAGAATCTTGAAAAAGATTGGCAGACGGAGTCTTCCCTGCCTGGGTGTTTCTCCTAAATGTGATTTTTTTTCTCTTTCCTGAAAACTCGGGATTCCATGAATTTATTTATTGTATGTATTCAATCAGTGGGAAGAGCTATAGCTATAGCTATCCTAGTTGTCCTAATTTAAGGCCTAGACGGGCTTATTTTTTAAGTATTTTTTGAAGTATTTTATCCCCCTGACCTAACTTTACAATGCAAAATGAAAAACGAAATATAAATGCCTGTGTCGTGTTGCGATAGTGATGTCCATCGACAGATAATCACCGCCAATGCCCTTCAAGTGGACACCTCGACTAACTATCTAGATATATTTCTCTATCAGGAGCCCAAGGGATCTCCAAAAGCTTTGAAAAGTGAGATTACAAGTAGCATTCTTTCCCGAAGCCTGAGTTGTGAACGCTGGGGTGAGACCACGACTCCAGCAGGGCTAATTAACACATCGTAGAATATATAGATAGATATATCTAGTGTCCCTATCAGCATGAAACTCTCACCAAACCCCCATGGGGCCCCTGGCCCAGTCAGTCGTTAAGTTAAGGTCAGGATGAGACATGCAAACACCACTGTGGACGTTCTCTAGCCTTAATTACTGTCATGTCACTGCGCAAGGCGCAAGGCCTGACTCAGGTTCGACCCCCGTCTTGTTGTTCTTCGATGGAAGACGCAATTGCAATCATCATCAAGATTGGAGGATCAGTAAATAAAACCCTGCAGGCCTGTCAAAAAGAAAAAAGACGCAAGTGGGGTTTTTGTAGCATCCTTCCGTAGCATCCTTCCTTCTCGCGAGAAGACTGAGGGTGTGAGCTTTTTTTTTTCATATCTCAGACTTTTGTTTTTCCTTTTTTTTTGGTGGCTTCCAAGCAAGTGAAATGTATGTACTGTACATTGGCTTCCTTGAAGTCTAAGATATTTATCGCTGAGCTTTGCGAACTTGAGGAGAAAATCGATATCTGGGGCATATGACCCTGATTTTTTTCCCGCCTAGCTTCAAATAGCTCCAATCTGTAATCAAGCAGATGACAAAAAAAAAAAGAAAAGAAAAGAAAAGAAAAGAAAAGAAAGAGGGACATGGCATCGATGGCATCGATGTCGTTTTGATTGATGCTTACTTAGCAGGATCACGGCATAACTTCCAGGAGTTATCGCTTTTGACCGAGAAGCTCCTTGAAGACACTAGACTAGATGCCATGCCCAAGATACTTCCTTGATGAGACACGGAAGCTACTTGAGAGCTCGGCTGAGGATTCAAGATCAATAACCGGTTCGCTATTGTATTTCCAATGTTCATTTCTGAGAATAATATTCGTGTTAGGTATTTCAAGGTGGGATTCGTACACTGCTGATGTCTGCTTGTGAGGTTCATACCCGTAACTGCCAAAGATTCAGAGAGTTGGGAAAGATTTATGGATATGTCACAATGCTGTCAATTCAGAAAAGTTCGAACATATGTCAACAGACATAAATACTGTACATACGACAGTAATAAGATCGATCAGTCATCGGGGCCATCTGCCTCCGTTGATATAAAAATCAAATAATCCTACCAATAGCTGCAATCGTTATATCCAAAAAAAAAAGAAAAAGTCCAGTTTACAGTCTTGGAGTATTGATGCCTCCGAATGTCACCGATTTGGTCACCAGGAACTCGTCAATCCCGTACTTGCTGCCTTCGCGACCGAAACCACTCTGCTTGACACCACCAAACCTGTGCGGTGTTAGTATGGTTGTATGTATTTCGAGACTTATCGAAGGGGAAGACTTACGGTGAGGCAGGGTCGCTGATGATGCCAGTGTTCACACCGACCATACCGACTTCCAGGGCTTCCGCCACTCGGAAGACGCGCTTGACATCGCGAGAGTAGAAATACGCGGCCAGGCCGACCTCAGCCCGGTTGGCCAGCTCGATAACCTCCTCCTCGGTTTCAAAGGGGAACAAGCCAGCAACAGGGCCAAACGTCTCTTCCGATGCCATCTTCATATCCTTGGTCATGTTCGTCAAGACGGTGAGGTGGTAGAAATTGTCTCCAATCTCCGAAGCCTTCTTTCCACCAACGACGACATTGGCGCCCTTGGACACGGCGTCACGGACGTGCTCGTCCACCTTCTCGACTGCACGCTGATGAATGACGGGGCCGTGAGTGACGCCCTCGCCAAATCCGCCGCCGAGTTTGAAATTCTTGACCTTCTCTGCAAATCTCTTCGCAAACTCATTGTAGATACCCTTCTGAACATAGATCCGGTTGGCGCACACACAAGTCTGCCCGGAGCTCCGGAATTTGGACGCAATCGCACCCGCGACGGCGGCATCGAGATCGTCAACGTCGTCGAAGACAATGAATGGAGCGTTGCCACCCAGCTCCCACGATACTTTCTTGACCGTCGAAGATGCCTGCTTCATAAGGAGCTTACCGACGTTGGTCGAGCCAGTGAAGGACACTTTCCGGATGGTAGGGTGAGTGGTCAGGACCTCGCCCACTTCGGCCGTGTTCTTCGACGCAGTGACGATGTTGACGACACCCTTGGGAATGCCGGCTCGGTGCGCCAGTTCTGCCAGGGCGTTGGCCGTGAACGGCGTCTCACAGGGAGACTTGGCGACGACGGTGCAACCTGCCGCCAGGGCAGGACCGATCTTGCGCGTAATCATGGCGGCCGGGAAGTTCCATGGGGTGATCAGGCCGCAGACACCGACGGGTTCCTTCAGCGTGATGACCCGGTTCCCCGCGACTGAGGCAGGGATGGTGTCTCCGTAAACGCGGGGTGCCTCCTCGCTGAACCATTCGAAGAAATTGGCCGCATAGGTCACCTCCCCTCTGGCATCTGCCAACGGCTTGCCATTCTCCCAGGTGATCAATGTGGCCAGATCCTCGGCGTTATCCACCATGAGTTGATACCATCGTCGCAGCATCCGGGCGCGTTCACGGGCAAGAGTCGCACGGAACGAAGGGAAGGCCGCCGCAGCAGCGGCGATGGCCTTCTCGGTGTCGGCGGCATTGAACTCGGGGCATCTGCCAATGTACTCGCCAGTGGCCGGGTCTGGATACACTGTCAACAATCCTCTCGCTTTCAAGCTCCATCCGTATTTGCTACCCACCATGGACTTCGAACGTCTCCCCGGACTGGGCCGTCACCCATTCGCCATTGACATAGCACTTTTCGATGAAGAGCGACTTGTCTTTCAACTGCAAGAACCAAACCGGTCAGACGGAAATCCCCTGGCCATCTCGGTTAACTGCCGGGAAGCTTACCGGAGGCACGGAGTGACCCATGGCGTAAAGGCGTTTCGAGTAGAAGACAGGCGCTGGCGGGACAGAGTAGGGATATCGCGGACGGGGTCTCAGCAGCTGGCGGGCTAGGGGGCGAACAACTCTCTCCATGGCGGAAGGAGGGGGCGCTTCCCTTCAATTAATAATAAGGACTCCAGACGAGAAAATGCCGGGGCTGCAGCAATGAGGGGTCGAGCAGTTCTCCGTTCACGGTTCCGCGCGAAGAGCTTCTCTCTCCGATGGTCCCGTCAGTTCGGGATCTGATCCCGCGAAGTTGGGGTAGACGCAGGTGGGCGTGGATCTCGACGTCACGTCACTCGCGGACGGCAGAAAAGCGTCACTCAATGCTCAACGCCTGGGGACCGTCTGGGAAAATATCTGAAGCTGCAATTGCGCAGAGCTGCTGACGCTCCCCAGGACGTGCACTCTTGATAAAGATCAGCAGCTCCGGCGGTGCTGGGCCTGCTTGCTCTCTGATTGCTCTGCGGCCCCGAAGCCTCCTTTCGTCATAGCTCACGCCCCACATCACGTGGGGCAGCAACATAGCAGATAGATCAGTTGGAGACTGAGAATCACTTCTATGGCATACAGTACTATTGTTGAATACGCTGAATAACTGCTGGAGGTAGTATACTTCCTCCAGCAATCGATATTCGATAGTGATCAAATAAACACGATCCTGTAAGAAACACGCAGGAGACCCGTATCTTACAGAGACAGCTCCCATATCTAATTACTTTTCAAATGCACTGCTCGGCGATCAGTAATCAGAACTGCAAACCCCAAACAAATTCCAGACTTTTCTTCTCCAACCCTTCTCCAACAAAACAGGATATTGCAATTGCAGCGCAGAGCTGCTGTATATCGGCGACACCAACCAATCACCGCCGGCACACTCCCTCATCGGTGCTGCGGACCAGTCAGCTGCCGTCCCGCTGCCTCGGGAAGATCCCCGAACAAGACAAACATGCAAACAACGCAAACATCCATTATCTATCTACCTCCCTATCTATCTTTCCAGCGTAAAATCCCCAAGTTGGCTCGTAATTAATACGAATCCAGCCGGGGACAGAAAGACCAGAATCGAGAAGAGATCTAATTACAGAACTTCTCTGCTTTTTTTGTCTTTTTTTTCCCCCTTTCGCTTTTCCCCGTGTTTCGGCAAACACCTCCGTCCTGTCCTGTACGGAGATAAGATACTGGTCGGGGACTTAGGGATCAACGGAAATGCGGGGAACGCCCTCCATCCGTATACATGACCCAGATCCATGGATGCCGAGGATGGATAAGGCTTCTCAGGACTGTACGGAGTATGAGGTGTTTGTACCGTAGCTACCTACTTGGGTATTTTGTTGGCACAGTGATCCCGAGGTACAGTACAGGACGATACAGTTCAGTTGGCTGGAAGTACTATGTAGATCAATTATTCTTCTATTGGATCTGATTGCGTTTTATTAGTGTTCTAAAGTGTACATACATGCATGGACCGTAGCTAAAACGCCAGCCTATACTGTACATTTCTGTCATCACTCTTCCTCGACATCATGCATCCCCTGATCTTGTTCAACTGGCGCATCTGCCGCTTGCTCGCCCCTGACATACCCCGGATGCACTCTCCTCATGTGCAGAGTCAGATTCCACGTTCGCGTGAACCCATCCGTATGCCGGCGACATCCGACAACAGGGCAAAGGATATCTTCTTTCCTGTGTTTTCCTTTGCCTTTGCCTTTGTGACGGCGTGGAGGTGCTGCTGCTGCTGCTGCTCCCGGCCCGCTATCTTCCTCCTTGGCGACAATTACGTCCGTGGCGACTGACGCTTCGCGCTTTCGACTGGTGGAGGAGCGGCGAGAGTGAGGACGCGAGCGCGACCGAGAGACAGAAGGCTTTCGCTGTGCTTCTTGGTCCTCTTTCTCTTGGTCTGGGTCTTCGATGTACCTCCACTCTGAAACGGTGTCGCCATTGGTCGTGCTCTGGACCTGCTGCACGCGGCCCTCCTCCAGAGTCCGGAATATCATATCCTCGCCAAAGAGGTCGGCGCATCGCTTGGCGGCTCGCATGACGGCCGACTGCGGGCAGTCGATCATCGACGCGATTCCCAAGACATCGCTCCAGTCTCGCAGTCCAAGCCTTGCTACAGCTTTAGGATCCCGTGTTCGACTGCGGGAGCGGCGAATGGACCGACTGCGTCGCGCTCGGGGCGGTGGAGGAGGAGACGCACTGGAGGATGCTGACGACGACATAGATTCCATCTCAGACGGGTTGTCTTCCGATTCTTCAATGCAATGTGCGTCAGAAGATTCCACCAGTGCCGATTCAGCAGGAGACGTCGTTCGAACGCGCTTCCTCCCCCTGGAGCGGCTTCTCTCCGACGTACTTGTCAATCGTCTCTTCCTGGTAGACGATGAATGAGAGGGAGCAGAGAGAGCACTCTCCGTATCCGTATCTGACTCAGTCGTCGAGCTATCGTCCGGAGCAATGCTTGCCTTGCGAGCGTGGTGCAGACCCATCAAAAGCCTATCAAAACGGGTGATAATATTCCGCACCAACGGCCGCAACTGCTGTCGGGATACGTCGTCGTCGGCTTGGACAACTGGGCGGCGTTCAATCCCGTCAGACAAGCCTTGCTCGGTCTTCCACTCTGCATCATCGCCAGTGCTTTCACCGTCATCCTCCTGAGCGCTTTGCTTCCTTCTCCGCTCCTTTGGCGCCCACTCCCTCTGCAAAAACCGTTCCTTTGCTGTCTTCATCATGATTGCCATGAGAGACTCCTCTAGGTCTGCACTCGGCCGCGGGTCGGGCGGTCCTTTCAAGGTCCAGGCCTCATCTTCATCAATCAAGGCCCGTTCATCCGCTCGAGGCACCTCAGACGCCGGCATCGGCCACGCAGTCCATATTTTCGGCGGTACAAATGGTGCTGTAGACACCCGTACGCCAGCAATCTCTTCCCAGTACTCTCCATCCTCCAAAGCTTTCTCCTTCAACTCTCGCGCTCTCCGCTTCAGCGCGAAGGCGTTGAACAAATGGGCAGAGAGGTCTCTGGCCCTCATCTCCTCTAGGCCGTCCGCAATCTGGCGTTCTTGCTCCGTCCATTTCCGCCACGTCGACCCCGGTCCCTGGTACCTGTTTTGCCGATACTGAGGGGGAGACGACGGAGGGAGTTGGACCAGGTTGTCATCTCTGAGAATAGCTTCTTTTCCTTTCCTTCTGCCTTTGGCATCTGGACCACTGAATCCATCGTCACCATCGTCTCCTTCATCATAGGTAGGATCATCAGAATCGTCGTCTGGAATTGGCAGCAGTGGCTCCTCGTCATATTCTAAGAGGTTCTCGTTCTCCTCTCCTTGCGAAATCCCGTCTCCTCCTGGATCCGGCTGCGTGTAGGGCTCCTGGTCAACATTCTGGCTGCTTGGTTCTCCTCCGAATATGGACTGATACGGCTGGGCCGATTGAGGGGGACTGACACTGGGGGATTCAGACTCGAGGCGCTGGGAAGACGCTGCAACAGACATGAACGTAGCAATACATGCAGAAGATACAAGGGGCTAGAATGTAGTCTGCAGATGTAGCGTCATCATCGACTTCTCATTAACATCCATAAAAAAGAAAACAAGTCTGACGTTGTCCGCAAGATCAAGGCATAAACGTGAAATCCAGACGAGAAGAATAATGAGATTCGATTATTCAAGCCAGAAAAATCCAGCACCACAGCAATGAATACAGTTCAAGAAATGAAGTACTGTAATATGAAGGAGGGATCATGTAAAAAAAGTATTCCCCGCAAAGGAAAAAAAGGTTCCACCAAAATTATTATTATTAAAACTCGTTAAATAATGGGATTAGTCCATCAAAATCAGTTTCCTGTGAGAATTAATAATACAAAGAACATGGTGATAAGCAAAAATCAAAAAAAAAACAGACGTGAATTCCCAAGGAAAGCAAAAATCCCCGTTAATCACGTGGTTGATAACTGGGTAGGTAACCACTGTCACCTGACCTACCAAAATCACGTGACATGACAACGACAAAGAATTTGGGAAAAAAAACCTGTCCACGACGACAACACCTCATCATGTGACCTGACCTGTGCTCTCTCCATTCTGTCACAGACACTCACTCTGTATTCTCTCCGAAATCAACCTACCCAGCGTCAGAGAGCGGCAAGCGACAGACACCAGCAAAATCGACAGGAGGTCGATGCGAGGTTTCTGAGTCACGTGTATTTCCTATTAAAGTTAGTATAAATTGTACACCGCCTGCTGTTAGAGGGAAGGAGTTTACACCGCCTGATTATAACTGCCGGCAGAATATTTGCTACTGGCGATCGATAATGGTTATTGGTTTTTCTCTACATGTCGAAATTTTTACCCTGCCTACCTGACAGGAATGAAATGAAATGGTACTTTTTGAGTAGAAAGAGAAAAAAGATATCAACCTTGTATGATATGATAATGATAACGTTCACACACCCATATGTAAAGTAATAAACCTTCCAGAAACACCAATGATATCATGTCAGCAGGAGCCAAAAATATAAAAAATACAAAAACTTTTTTTTTGTTTTCATGCGCCTGACTTCGCAGCAGCCTTCTCGATCTTCCTCCGCTTGTTCCGCAGCTTCAGCGCCTCTTCCTCCTTCTTCTTGTTCGAGTAGAGCATCTTGTCCAGCAGCTTGCGCTTCTTCCGGCTCATCATCATCTTCTGCCGCTCGAGCTCTTCTTCCTCCTTCCGCTTCTGCGCGGCGTATTTCTTGGATAGAGAGGCCTTCTTGTTCTTCGCCGAAGAATCGTTCACGGATCCTGTGAACGGGAGGCCTGCCGCTTCGGCTTCGAGTTCTTTCTGATGCTGGGCGCGGGCCGCTTCCTCCTCGTCTTCGGATTCGGAGGCTGGTTCGTCGTCGTCAAAGCCGCCGAATTCTTCTTCTTCCTCTTCTTCGCTTTCTTCTTCCTCGTCGTCTGAATCATCGACATCCATGCCGTGATCATCAGACTCATCCTCCTCCTCTTCCTCTTCCTCCTCCTCTTCTTCTTCTGACTCTTCGTCAGCTTTAGCGTCGGTCTTCTTCTTATCCGAAGTCTCCTCCATCTCCTCGTCACTTTCCTCCTCTTCCTCTTCCTCCTCTTCTTCCGCACGTTCCGCCTCGCCTTCCTCCTCCTGTTCAGCCAAGCTGGCCCGAGGATCGTATTCGCCCTTCTTCGGCTTCACCCAAGGGCTCAAGTGAGGGGGCAGAGTGGCACCGGGAGCGTAAAGATCCGGACGAAGGAGTTTCCCCTCGTTTATGCAGTCCCAAACCCACTGGGGTTGGATGTAAGTTCTGCCCGGAATCCGAGTGCCAGGTCGAACCTTTGGAGCTGAGCCGTCTGCGGCATCTGGGACCGCTGGAAGAGAGGATTCGGGGAGCGCCGGACGGTCAACAATTTGGTGGGTGATGCGAGGGTCTGTCTCATCGTGGGTGAAAGCGCCCTCGCCCAACACAGCATCCCATCCGATCCGCTTGCAGCCAAAAGCACGTAGTATGAACTCCAGAGGCGCCTTCGGGGCCTCCCGGGAAATGAAGAAAGTGAACGGGGCGAACAACGTAGCGGCCTCATTCTCACTCATGTCGGGCTGGGGAAGCGTATCCGCCTCCGGAGCCGCGGGCTCGAATTTATCAATCGTATCGTTATTCTCTTCCTGTTCTTCAGCGACCTGTTCCTCCTGCTCGTTGTCGAGGCCAACCGATTTGACAACGCTGTCAACCTTCTCCTGCACTTCACGAGAGACCTCCTTCCCCGCGCCATTCGTCTGTGCTCCGGGTGCTTCGATCGCTTTGTTGTTGAGAGACGCCGCATTTCGGCTTTCCAGGCGGAAAGCAGCCAACTCGGCGCCTCGTTCGTCACTTGCGACATCAAACTTCGGCGGGTATACCAGACCGATGGAGGTGTAGAGCCGGAAGTTGACGAAGCCGAGCAGAGTGGTGTAGAACTCGACAAAGGTGGCCATTATACGAAAATCGACATCGCCATTGACTCTCTGGACGAATCGGTATGGAACAAGCCACATGATGTCCTGGCCCTGGATTGTGGCCTGGTAGTAGATACCCTTGATGGAGAGGAACGACTTGCGAAGCGAATGCGTCTTGATCAGGTAATGCTGGAATTCATGGCACAGACGCTGGCACCGCGCGATAGTCTTCGGAGGAACGGTAGAGGTGGACGGAAGGTTCGCAAACAGGAACAGAAGCGACAGGCAGTCATCGAGATCTCGCAGCGCATCGATGAAGGTCGGATAGCGCTCTTTAATGATGTGATCGAGAGTGAGCTTGGGCGCCAGGTTCCTCTCCAATCGCGCCGCATCACCTACTTCTCCCCGGCCTAGGGCTCGAGCAATTTTCTTCGAGAGCGCCTTTTGCTCGCGGAACTTCTTCAGCAGCGGTTCATGAAGGAGATACTGAATATCCTTGTAGTAGTAGAATGTGGTATTGGGGGTCGCGTTCTTGGAAACTTTCTTCTTGTTCCGGGGCTCGCGCGGGTAGATTCCTAGACGCACGCATTAGACATTGGCAACGAAGCCGAGAAATTCTGGCGACTGCATACCTTTGAAGATACATAGCCGGCGGAAGTCAGGCAGAGAAATCTGAAGCTTGCGCACAGCCTGTGTTCGGGTGATATAGTTCTTGGCCTGGCCAGAAGTTCCTGCAGGAAAAAATCAGCAAGCGACATTTACACAGCTAATCAATTCGCATGCTCTGCAATACAGACCCTTCTTCTTGATCTTCGCCATCTTGCTGTGGTGGGCTGGCGACGCCGATGTGCGAGTGCTGATAACGAAAAAGAAAAAACTTATCGACGGAGGGACTTTTTCGGTGTCGGCGAGAGGCTCGGGAGTGGCCCGTGCGGTGCGGAAGCCGACATGCAGTTCTAAGGACAGCAAGCAACGCAGCGATCACCAACGCGCTCTGTCTGGTGGCCGAAATTGCTCGCAATCCGCTCATTTGGACCAGAGACCATGGAATTGTCGTGCCAGGTCTGATATCCACCATGCCTGTCGACAGGAGGAAGGCCGGCGTCTTCGCCGCTGCTGTCGCCCTGCGACTGCTGCTCTTCGTCGCTTTCCCCTCGCTCCCCGACCTCCTGACCGCGCGAGTCGAAGTCTCGACTCCAATTAGCAGCTTCAAGAGACGTGCGTGCTTGAAATTCAAAGAAGAAAATTGTTCAGTCTGACCGGTTCTACAGTGCAAGAGGGTCTCTTCCTCTACACGCGGAATGTCTCTCCGTACGACGGTGGTGTCTTCCATCAGGTAAGCAGCTCCGTCAGCCTCGTCTGAGCAGCAACTGACTTGTGAACAGGCACCGCTTCTTTTGCCCATATTTGCCTTGCTCCCGAACCCCCAAAGTCACCCGCTAGCCACCAGCATCCTATACACCTTGGTCGATCTCTTGAATGCAAATGCCTTGATCACGATTTCGGACTCCGCAGAGTCCGTCACGGGGAGGTTCCATTCCACATTGCGGAAGCATATCCGATGGGACGGGGTTGCAATAGCGACAGGGTATTTCAGTTATTTCGTGCGACTAGACATGCGGCGGTATTGACGAGTCCCAGGTACCTGTTTAACCCGTTTACGCTGGCGACATGCCTTGGCCGTTCGACGAGCGTGTTCACCAATCTCGCGATCCTGTACGCCGTGTCGAATGCCGTGACTGGAAATGGTCTGAATTCGATGATTGCCTTGGGGTTTGCATCCTACCTGTCTCTGTATCCGGCGCTTCTGTTCCCGCCTCTTGTCCTCCTCTGCTATGACCGCCAGGCGATGGCTGGGAAGAATACCTGTGGCCCAGCAGTATACACGTTGAAGCAGTTTGCTATACTGTTAGGAGCCATTGCCGGTCTCCTTGGTGCCTCGTACCTCGTCACAGGGTGCTCTTGGGAATTTATCTCCGCAACGTACGGAGTCCACTTGCTCGTGCCCGATCTGACACCGAACGTGGGCCTGTGGTGGTACTTCTTCATCGAAATGTTTGACTCGTTCCGGGAATTCTTCCTGGGCGTATTCTGGCTGCATCTAGCGGGCTACGTGGGAGGATTGACGATACGCATACGGCGACAGCCGCTCTTTGTCATCACCTCGTTGCTCGGGATTTTTGCCATCTTCAAACCGTACCCCAGCATAGCCGACGTCTCACTCTACTTTGCCCTCCTGCCGCTGTACAGGCATCTCTCGCCTCGTAAGTATTTTCTTTTCCGTCATCGATACCTTTCTGTTTCTGACAAACGCCTAGTGACGCGGTACACATTCTTCGCGGCGTCCGCTCTCTTGTACGCGACCCTGCTTGGGCCGGCCTTCTACCACCTGTGGATCTATGCCGGGTCCGGAAACGCCAATTTCTTCTACGCCATCACGCTGGTGTGGAGTTTGGGTCTGACCATCCTGGTAGCCGACCACATCTTTGCCGCGCTGCGGGATGAGTGGGAGCAGGAGAATCCGGCGATGAAGGGCAAGGAGGTGAGGCAGATATAGCAGTGAATTCGGAAGTAAAAAGAAGAAAAAAGAGATAAAAATTACTACCCCTGCACCTTAAAGATGGCGTATAATCTTAAGACAGAAAGAATACCGAAACACAATGCATGAGTAACAAATTTCGTATCTATGCCTGTCTCGTCCACTGACATAATTAATACCTCTCCTTCTACGCCCGTAACCTCTTCGACAGAATCAGATAATCCGACTCCTTGACCGTCCCATTCCTGAGTTTCTTCGGCTGCGGCGAGGACTCGTCGACGACGTACCCGAGCAGGTCGTAGAACTGCACCGCGTTCTCGTTCGCGCGGAAGACGGTCAGCATGGCCTTCTCGAGCCCCACGCGCTGACCGATGTCCTCGAAGAGCGTCATCAGTTGTCGGCCTAGCCCGCGGCCCTGGGTCGATGGATGCAGGTGGATCTCGTAGCAGTAGATGACCTCCTTGCCGTCTTCGTAGGTTACCATGAAGGAGAGGAAGCCTGGAAGTTGCTGTTGTTGTTGTTGCTGTTGGTCTTGTTCCTCTGTTGTTGGTGGTGGTGTTGTTGATGCCGTCGCCCTACGGAGAAGAATGTACCGCATATCAGGCAGTCGCATCTCCTTCTTCTTCTTGGACGGGGACCATCCGATGGACGAGTTTGCGTAGTCCTTTGACGAAGTCAGCTCGATGAGCGCGAAGCAGGCCTCAAAGTCCGATTCGGGGATGGATTCTGCGGTGTGGATGTCGAGAGTGTATACGGCATTATTATTGTCGGTGTTGATGTTGGTGTTGGTGCTTGCATCGACGGCGTTTTCGCCTTGTTGCTGTTTGTGCTCGTCTCCGCCAGCAGCAGACTGGTTCGAAGAGTCTGCTGCCTTCTTTTTTGAGTCTTTTGACACTGTGAGTCGGAGTCGATCTGACGGGACGTAACGTTCGATGAATTGATCCAGTGGGAGAGCGTTGGTGCGCTCGACTAGAGGTAAATAACTCTTTTTAGCTGCAGCAGTGTTAGATAGAATTCTTTTTTTTAATTCCATTGATTGTTTGAGAAATGATAATGCTTCAACCGAAGCTCGTGCAACAAAACGAGACTGTCACACACAACACACACATATACAAATACACAGCTTATAAAAACAGAAACAGCGAGGATATATATACGTCGAAAGCATGAATATAAAATGAAGCAGGGTATCAACGATCAACCCCAATCCCCAGGGGCGAAAAAAAAAAGTGTGAAAAAAAAAAGAAAATAGGGAATGAATCTCACCATCCTCCCTCGCGACCTTCTCCCGATGCCACTTTGACAATTTCAGACCCGAAGATCGTGACCTGGACGAATTTCGCTGTGACGATGAAGATGAAGATGACGGCTTTGTCACCCTCCCGTTCTTGACGGATGGTGACATGATCGATCAATCAATTAATCAATCAATTTATTAAATAACTATGTATAGCACTGCGCTCTATATATTTCTGGTACGGGATTGGAATTGAATCTCACTCCGTCTTTCTTGTACATTCATTAAATAATGATCTAGACGGATGATGATGTTGTTGTGACACACGTTCTTCTGGGCGGCGCGTATCGAAACGCGAGATTAGATTTAGCGTATGCAAAATTTGGTGCAGTTTTGGCACCCCAAAACCTCAAAAAATTGCAACTTTTGTATCGGAAGCCCTCCAAACCACCAAAATACTGATTTTTCTCACCAAATCCCATCGATTTTTTACTGAATTTGTCATATCTGAGGTTTTTCTGACTTTCTAATTAGGAAATTATAGCCTATATTCAAACCGATATCGAGATGTCTGCGAATCGCGCTCCTGCCGCCATACCCTACGACCTTCGCAAGAAGCACATTCCTCGCATCCCATCCCCAGCCCCGAACCAGGATCCCGCTGGCAATTATACTCCGATGGCCGCTGCAAGGAAGATAAGAAAAATGAGGCAAAAGAAGGCGTCTGAAGCGTCTAGAGCGTCTGGAGCAAGGAGTTCTGCTGAGAGACCTCAGGCAAAGGCGCCGGCGAGCCAAAAACGCTCATTGCCAGCACCTTCCAACGCGTCAAAACGTGTCAGATTCGAGATATCCAATGAAGCCGTTACTGAGTCGGTCCCTGAAGCTGTTGGTGACGCGTCTGACGATGCCCCGGTCGATACTCCTGCCAATGCTCCTGACGAAGTATCCGATTTGCAGGAATCCGTTGATAATGAGTCCCCTCGTGAGCCTCCTGCTGAGGACGAGGAAGAGGAAGCTGCCAGAGCGCTTTATACCACCAAAGAACGCTTTAAGAAGCTCGTATACAAGAGACGCGTGGAGGAAGCCCGTCGCAGGTTGCAAGAAGCCGAGGAGGACACCTATATTCCGACATCGGATATAGAAGAAGAGATGGATGAGCTCCTACGCGCTGCTGACTACCCTGTGGCCTTATATCTACGCATATATCTCAATAAGACGTTGGTTGTTCGCAAGGCTCTGCCTGATTCTACTCGCCGTACGCTCGATATTGCAGATATTGAAGAGATCTTTCTACAGTCGCTTCAGCCATTCGTTAAGGACGAAGATGTATGAAGTTATTAGCCGTACAGCAATCGTGAGACTGGCGACTGGCCGTGGAGGATCAAAAGCTCACGATATCGACGATTTTACCAATGCCGAAGCGGAGCAGATCCTTGCTCTACTGGATAGGCAACATAAGACCTTCCCAAGAAGCCAAATACAGCTTCATTTTGAAATCAAAGTGGTCTGTGAAGCCTTGCAAGGAAATAAAAAGAAGTCAAGACAATCCTCTCAGCCTCCAAAGCAGTCAACCACCGATGAAGCTTCTTCTCCTATATCAAGCTCTCCTCCGGTTGCTTCAACGCGTTCTAATCGTACTGGCAGGCTGTTGGAGCAACATTCTCGTCGCCTAGAATCCATACGGATTGCAGGAGATTTTCAACGTCAGTTGATGGAGCGATACCGCTGTCTTGACGACAATTGTACAAACAAAAATAATTACTGTTTCCCTGATCCTACAGATCCAAATCTCCATTATAATATTACCGCTGCTCAGCACGAGATGTGGGCAA